TTCAATCCATGGCAAAATGCTTGGGATGCTCTGGCAAATACAGATGATTCAGAACTGGAAAAAGAGAATGTGATAGATCATCAGTACTTGTTCAAAGATGATTCTCGTTTTGAACTTTTCTTTGCGAGGTACGTTTCAACAACTTCCTAGAAATTATGTATGTATTGCTTCAGATATGATGTAAATGGGACATTTGATGGTTTCTTCACATCAGAAACGATTCCTTTATTGCTCTGTGGAGATTTTCTGGACCCGTTTGCTCCATTTGTTTTCGGAAGAAGATTCTACAAAGAGTGCAAAATAAGAAAGGAAGCGTACAGCGATAGCTTCTTAGAAAGAAAAACGGGACAATCTCACTTTAGGCATTTCTGTTCCGTCCAATTTATACTTCCGGACAGTTCTGATTTCGCACAGTTTTCAATTTGGAACCATTTTGATTTAGGAAATGTTCATTTTGCCACAGTTTCATTTTAGGAAATCTCCAATCCGTCGTACCACCATAATTGAGCTGAAAGTTGACAGAGTGTGGGTGACCACAAAATGAAGTCGATGTTGTTTCTTCGCCGACCTATAACTAACGTCAAAATCAACTTTTTTGATTTATTTAAAAGAAAATGTAGGGCTTGAAAATCTCTATAAAATGGTATAAAAATTTTGTGGTCTGAATCTTTGCCGATCCTTTTTTGGTTTTATAAAAAAGAAAATTTAGAGCTTGGTTTGTTTTTCCTATCACTAGATTCCTATCATAGGAATAGAGCTAATCGAGCTGACAATCCACAACGTGGGGGCCCTTCTATTACAGGTTGTTTCCAAAAGTACCTCATGCAAATGGTAGACCACAAAAATGTAGAAACAACAGCAAATTCCCAGCTGTAATACGCATAAGGATGTGTTCACCAATGCTCTGAAATATAGTTTTTCATTTTTGTAATTTTCAGAATTTTCAGAATACTTACCGAGATATTGGCGCCAGTTTCCGTATCGGGGTATAACTGGCTTGAGTGGCTTTATAGGCCATGTTACCGTAATCCAGAGGAGCAGATTGATTTCTGAAAATCATGCTATGTACAGTAATCGGTCAATAAGTCATATGAAAACCAATTTTTCCGTGAATTTTCGGAATTTTCAGGAGTCTGGAAAGGGTCCGATCTCTTTGAAAATGTTGGGTGTAAAACAGACATAGATTGAAAACTTTGCATTCATAGAATTTTCCGAAAATTCCTTTTATTTTCCGATTTCTGAAAGACACCCGTGTTTGGCCCATTTTTGGTCCGTTTTTGTTCTGAAAACAAGAAAAAAAACAGATGTCTTTCAGAAATCAGGAGGCAGAAAAACTTAGAGTTTACAAAAATTTTGTGAATGCAAAGTTTTCCATCTAGGTGTTTTGCACCTTCCAAAATTTTCAAAGTGATCGAAAACTTGACAGCCGAGCTCTAGCCTTCTGAAAATCGCCAAAATGATCAAAATCAAATTCAAAAACACATGTTTATATATCTTTCTGACCGGTACTGTACATGTACCAAAATCTCACATCTTTGACAAATATCCAGCGCACTTGACTAGTTTATCATACACAAAGCACATAGGAAACCCAAAACCAGAATGATAACGAGTCCAGCCTAAAAAAGAGGGGTAAAAACTACAGTAATCTCTGAAACTTACCACATAACCGGATTGTTTAAAAGCGAGTGGAACTGAGAAACATCCAGCGCCAAGCATTCCTTTCATGAGGTTGATAAGGGCAAATTTGGAACTGAAAACATGATAAAAATTGAAAATTGAACATATACATTACCTGTCAATTGGATTTTTATTTTAAAAACATATTTTCAGTTGATTTTCGGCTGTTTTGATCATTTTTCAGAAGTCTGGATCTCAACTGTCAAGTTTCCCATCACTTCGAAAATTTCGGAGAATGTAATACAGACCTAGATTGAAAACTTTGCATTCGCAGAATTTTTAGAAAATTCCTACTTTGAAATATATTAGGTTGGCGGGAAAGTCTTTGTCACTTTTTCAATAGTTTATTTCTCAAAGAAAAAATAACCGAATAATTAATTATATTGTCCATCATTATCAACAACATGTCTCCAACGTTCCCTCAATTTATGGATTCCATTGCGGTAGAATCCAGCCGGGCGTGAGGCAAAGTATTGTTTGAGTGCCGCTTCGACCGCTCCACGGGAATTGAAGCTTCTTCCTTCGAAGGCACGTGTCATATCGCCAAATAACCAATAGTCGGAAGGAGCAAGATCAGGAGAATACGGGGGGTGAGGGAGAACATTCCATCCATATCCCATCAGCTCCTGCTTCACTTGTTTCGAAACATGTGGGCGAGCGTTATCATGTTGATAGTACACTTTCTTGTCTTTCAGGGCCGAACGGTCGACTGCTTTCTTGAGGTTTCGTAGTTGAGTAGTGTAGAGGTCTCCAGTTATTGTTTTGCCCTCGGGCAGAAGTTCCCAGTAGATGGGGCCGTCCACTCCCCACCACACAGAGAGCATAACTTTTTTCGGATGAAGGTCGGGTTTTGGGACATCCTGTGGGCTCTCTCCTTCTCCAACCCACTGGGATTTCCTGTGGTGATTATCGTAGAAGACCCACTTCTCATCTCCGGTTATTAGCCGGTCCAGCCATCGATCGCCCGCGTGGAGAGTGAGAAGAGTAATCGAATCGTCGACTCGGCGGTCAAGGTTGGCTTGAGTCAGGTGATGAGGTATGAATCGACCAAAAAGTTTTCTCATTCCAAGAGACTTCAAACCTTCAAGGACTGTGCTATGGTGAACTCCGAATGTGACAGCTAGTTCACGGCTAGATTGAAATGGATCCGATTGCAATGCGTGCTTCAGCTTGTCCAAATCCAACTCACGGGGTCTCCCAGAGCGATCCTTTTCATCGAGCGAGAAGTCATCTTTTTCGAAACGATGGAACCAATTGCGAATAGTATTGTAGTGAGGGGCATGTGTGTTGTACACATTCTTCAAGAAAGTTTCCGAATCCTTCATCGTGGTGTGAGATAGGAAGAGGTAAATCAAAACATGTCTGATGTGAATAGCAGTGGGAACAAACATATCGTTTCAATTACAGATGAGGAGCAGGGAAGGAGATGGGGACTTGTTTATATGGAAGGTTCTTATCACCTTGTTATTCACTAGAGTCGATATCATACACAGCCTCCATATACGAGAACAGTGATTAAACAAACAGAGTGACAAAGACTTTCCCGCCAACCTAATATTATTTTTTGGCCGTTTTTGTACTGAAAAACAGGTTTTTTCAAAAACCTGCAAATAACTAAAAAACTAGGAATTTCCAAGTTTTATGTCTACAAAAAAGAGCAGCAAAAGTTAGAGACTTCGGTTCCAAAATCACTTTTCTAGGACCACTAAGAGCCGAAATACAGCCATTCGCAGACGACAAGACACTCTTACTGTCTGCGTCTCTCCTAAACTTCAAATCACTATATCTCGGCTTCTAGAGGTGCTAGAACCTTGGTTTTTGAACAAAAATAGAGCTTTGCATTCACAGAACTTTTTGAAATTTCCTAAATTTTCCGTTGTTCGGCGATTTTTGAAGTATACTCATTTTCCCCTGTTTTAGAACTGGAAATGCGAAAGAACGTTGGTGTCCTTCAGAAATCGACAAATAACTGGAAAACAAGGATTTTTCAAAAAATTCTGAAAATGCAAAGTTTGCAAGCTAAACCTGTTTTACATCCTCCAAAAAAATCAAAGTGATCGGAAGCTTGACAGTCGAGTTCCAGACTTCTGAAAATGGTCAAAAAACAGCTGGAAAATACGTTTTTACTGGATTAAATCCCGACGAAGGCGCACCAGCTAACTGGTGTTTTTATAAAAACCGAATCTCAAAGTTTAAAAAATTTACCTAATAGCTTTTTTGTAGATTTCGAGATCAACCGAACTTTCGGATGGAGAGAATAGAACAGTCATTTTCTTAGAAATAGGATGAAAATATGAAATCTAAATAGATCAAATTGAAACGAAGCTAAAAATTAAAGGTAATGAAGCGTATGATCACAATTGACCAGTCTTATGAGGTTTAGAAGGCAGACGGCTTCCTTTCGAAAGTCGTCTAATTTTATAGATTCCCAAAAAAGGATCCTCTCCCAAGAAGGCGTGATAATATGATATTATCAGTTGATCAAAAAGAAACAGGAAAAAAGTACAATGTAAAAACACCTGTACTTTTTTAAAGACTTTTCAAAAAACATCCAAAATCATATCTCTGCGTCTCTCTTACCCAATATGATCTTCACCAAAGGACATTTCATCCTGTTTGATTTTTTGAGAAAATACAGAAGATTTCAGTTGCATGATCTTGACCTGATGATGTCACAATATGCATTCAGTTTTTGGCTAATAATATTCAGAGTGATGTATTTCAAAAATCTATGTCTTGTCTATCATCTATCATATTTGTCGCCTATTATTCTTTGAAAACCCGTTTTAGGCTTTTCGGGATGATAAACAAATCAACTCACGAGATCTTCTCTTTTCTCTCCACAAATGACTTTTTTCGTCCTCCTCTTCCTAATGCTTCCTCAGCTTCATCCCATTTTGAAACCAATTGATATTCCGATTGCACATTGTGCATTCCAATGTCATGCAGGTCAAGCATTCTCTGAAAATAGTGATTGTGCACCGACCTCATTTCGGCCGTTTTCAAAAAATCTCCCAAATTCAATAATTTTAGATTTTTATACCATTTTGTAGAGCTTTTGCTCTTTTATGAATAAAACAAATATAAACTCTTTTATGAATAAAACAAAAATCGCTGTGCGAAGCGCACCGTAAAATCTCTAAAAGAAGGGGTCCCACACTGTCAACGTTGAGCTCAATTATCTCGATTCCTGTGAAAGATATCAAAAACATGTCAACTGACAAAACACTTCTGATATTATGATAAACAAATTTTCAGTTGGCAAGTTGTTGATATCTTTCACAGGAATCGAGGTAATTGAGCTCAAAGTTGACAGTTCAGATGGGCTTGTAAAAGACGAAATACGGTAAAATCATTTTCTTGTAGTTCGAAGGGAGTTCTATTTGTTCAGAAATGTATTCTCTTCAGGAAGGATCTTTTAGGGATCCGAGGGTCGGTTGAAAAAGATAGTGTCAACAAATCTTATCCCACTAGATCCGAAAAGATTGTTTGATTTTCAGATTGCTGTGTTCAAATCGTCCTTATAAACAAAACAGTTGTTCTAATTCCTCATGTCTTGTAATAACTATACTAACTAATTGTGAGGAATTTAAATAACGGTTGAGCAATCCCATTTAATTTCCTTCGTATTAGTCACTCGTACCGTAAACCTGTAATAATCCCTATCAAACTTGAGCTCAATTATCTCAATTTCTAAGCGAGATATCAAATATGAGTCAACTGACAAAACACTTATGATGCTATGATAAACATTTTATCAATTGACAACTTTTTTGTATCTTTGACAGGAACCGAGATAAATTGGCTTAAAGTTGAGAGTTTGGACGCCCTTCTATCACAGGTAACACGCTCTAGAATAAATGTATCCAACTCTTCAAGTTTTTAAGTCTTACATCTGCATTTGTCATGTGTAGAAATCCCTCGGAAATCCTTCGAACTCCATGCTGAAGACCTTCCGAAATTGACTTTCGGCGATGTTCCATTTTTCTGAAAATGAAAATTTGACAGGAAGAATAAACAGTATAAGGTTCAAAATGTTCGATGGTTGTCTGATGAAAAGAGGTGGAGTTTTTCATTGAGGAACTCTGTGATGATTTGATTAGTAGGAATTCCAATTTAAAAACAGTTCTCAGAAGGGAAGAAGGGACTAATTGATCATTAAAAATCAAAGGTTTAGTCTAATGAATTGGAATGGGTGGCCTTTTGAGTGTTGTGTTTATTGGAGGGGACGGCTGAAATGAACTTGTCAACGTGACACTGATTACAGGGATTGTATCAAATCAGTGAGCGAGTTGTTGTTGTTTTGATTAGCTATGAAACACCGATCAAAGTTATTAAAATCGAACGGAGAAAAAAGATTTACGGGGTTCCAAATGGGCATCAATCTCCGATATAATTTCTGTTTCGCCAGTAAACACGAACTGTTCTTTGATAAAACAAAAAAGTTAACCTTTAAATTGGATTAACACAAACATCACAGTCAGGAAAATTAACGTAACGTAAACACTCTAAAAGAACAATTATTGTCTTGCATGGTGCATCGACTCCATTTCAGCCGTTTTTCCAAAATATACCAAATCCAAAAACTAGGTTTTTATATCATTTTGTAGAACTCTGCAAGCTCTCTGTGTTCGTTTTTGAATAAAACAGAAATATCATTTCTTGACACTAGTTATGGGTCGGCGAAGATACGGCATGGTGCATCGACTCCATTTTGGGTGTTGTGGGCGCCCACACACTGCCAACTTTGAGCTCAATTATTTCGATTTTTGTGAAAGATATCGAAAAGTAGTCAACTGACAAAACACTTCTGATATTATGATAGACATTTTATTACTTGACCACATTTTGATATCTTTTACAGGGATTAAGATATATCGGCTCAAAGTTGACAGTGTGAGGGTCCTATCAAAGTGTAAGACAGCAATACTAGAAATCATTTGAACATTTTACAAAAAAGCAGTAAAATAAAATATGCGGCATGTTCTTTTAAAATTTATTAGACTTTCTTACTGTTTTCAAAAAACAAAAGATTTGCAGAAAAATACAAAAACAAACTGATAAAAAAGGTCGTTATCATGGCCATCTTCTAGTTTCTCTTCTACTCCGCCCCAAACAGTTTCTCCTAATAAGATCACAACAACATAAATCAGTTTTAATGAGTTTTACTGATTAATTGCTTTTGTGGTTAGTCTTCTGACAGCAGATGACGTGGCACAGAGGAATTCTTTTAGTCCAAAGTTGAAAAAAAAGCTGAGACTGAGAATTCGGAGAAAGAAGGGAAGATTCAAATTCAATCCACATGGCAACATAATAAAATTGGAAGGCTCCAGACAGATTTTACAATCATGCGAGTCCGGTTTTTTTGTTCTCAATCGGAGAATTCATGATTCAGGAGTCGAAAATATATTGATATACCGTAAAACCTGCAATAGAAGGGTCAATTTCTGTCTGTCATGGTGCATTGACTCCATTTTGAGTGTTTTCCTCAAACATTCAAAATCCAAACCATTAGATTTTTATATCACTTTGTAGAGTTTTTGAAGCCCTACATTTTCCGTTTTCAATAAACGAAATCCATTAAAAACGCTAGTTATGAGTCGGCGAAGATTCGACATGGTGCATCAATACAATTTTGGTCGTATTGGACGCCCCCACACTGTCAACTTTGAGCTCAATTATCTGAGTTCCTGTAAAAGATATGATAAATGTGTCAACTGATAAATCATTTATCATAATGTCACAAACATTTTACTAGTTGACACATTTTTGATATCTTCCACAGAAAACGAGATAATTGAGCTCAAAGTTGACATGTGGCCCTTACGGTTTTACAGGTTTTACGGTTATTTTATTTTTAAAACATAGGATTTTCGAAAGAAATCGAATTTGGCGCAGATGCGCAGAATATTTTACTGATCTCAAAAAATATTGTAAATTCTGAAATTCTAAACAACGAATAAAAAAGAAAAACAAAGAATTTGTGTTCCTGAATAGGAAAACGATGAAAAAAGTGCACTGATTATAAAATTGAATTAACAAGCATTGATGAAGAAGTTAGTTGTTTCAAAAACTTGTTTCTCGGTTCCCCTCTACTTTTTCAACGTTCTTCGGTCCATTATTGGGCGACAAATCAGAAGAAAAACAACGGGGAGTAGTAAATTGATGAAATGTGTGAAAAACATTACGAATGGGGTCTTAAATTGGGCGAAAAGTTGTCTGTCGAGATGATAAAGTGTATACCAATTTAACACCAATTAAACAAACTTTAAATTGATTTATTGAAGAGAAATAAATTAAACTAATTTTCACAGAAAACAAGAATCATAGTTTATCACAGATTTCAATATGAATCGAATCGAACTAGAAGATGTATTAAAAATGATTGAGATCATTTCACAATTCCGTTTTCACATTCAATTTGGCTAAAAGTGGAATGTCCACATCGACTGAACCCTTGAATCCGTTATCCTTTATGGATTCGAGTCCTTTGATGTATTCAGAAGGGAGTTTATGCTCTTTAGCTCCTTCGACAATAACAAGTTTGTAATGGGGAGATGGAGGCATTGGATCGGCTTGGAGATCCGAATATTGATAGGTTCTGCAGAGGATGACACCGTGTGGGGTGTGGACGGGAACTGAAATTATGGAAAGATTAATGAAAATTGTTATTTTAGGTTTTCATTCTTTTTCTTGAACAAAACAATAAGAACTTCCAACTACAGAAATTCTGGTTGCGTCTACTGTAAACGCTCTAATAGAACGCCATCCCTAGTTTTGAACTTTGTGGTAATTTATCTCAGTTCCTGTTAATGATATCAGAAAGTGACCAACTGATAAAATATTTGTGATAGTATGATAAACATTTTGTTAGTTGAAAACTTCTTGATATATTTTACTGGAAATTAGACATATGGGCTCAAAGTTACCGGTTTGGGTGAGCTTCCATTAGAGAAAATAAGGTAATTTTTCGAAATTCGCGTGTAATTTTGTTACCCGAGTTTTAGGAAATTATAATTTTCACGTGAAAAAATAGGAAAATTAGGTCATGCCCTAAAAAAATCAGGTCGTGACCTAGAAAAATTAGATCGTGACCTAGAAAAAAATTAGGTCGTGACTTAGAAAAATTAGATCGTGACCTATAAAAAAATTAGGTCATGACCTAGAAAAAATTAGGTCATGACCTAGAAAAAATTAGATCATGACCTAGAAAAATTAGATCGTGACCTAGAAAAAAATTAGGTCGTGACCTAGAAAAATTAGATCGTGACCTATAAAAAAATTAGATCGTGACCTAGAAAAAAATTAGGTCGTGACCTAGAAAAATTAGATCGTGACCTATAAAAAAATTAGGTCATGACCTAGAAAAAATTAGGTCATGACTTAGAAAAAATTAGATCATGACCTAGAAAAAAATTAGGACGTGACCTAGGAAAAAATTAGGTCATGACCTAGAAAAAATTAGGTCATGACCTAAATAAATTAGGATTTCGGATTCTATTTGAATTTTTTTCGGAAAATTCACATATTTGGGAACATTTTCACGCAAAAAATTAAAATGAGAATTGACTGAAACCCTCTTTTATAGTTTACTTTGGGGGTTTTTTTAATATTGAACCAGAGAATTCGAGCTAGACAAAATTGTCCCAATCTTTAATATTTCTCTCCTTGTTCCCAAATCAAAAAAAACAATCAACTAACCCATCAATCGATGATATCCCTTTTCTTGCTCATCCAACGATTCTGAATACTCGTTCGGCATCTTCCATACACATCCCCACACCTCTTTCCCATTCTCCTCCATCACCGTCGCCAGTGCTCCCTGCCATCGTTCCGAATAGTTGGCGAATTCCAAACGGAAGTGGTCGAGTCTCCCATTGCAGTCATACTGTGCTCCTTTTTGCTGGAAATTTGTGAATTTTCAGCTGAAAAAGAAGAAAAACCAACCTTATACCTAATTCTATCACCGAGAAGATTACTTCCATAGGCAAAATAATAGAAGAAAGTCATGACTTGGTTCATAGAACTGCCGCGAGAGAGCACAGCCGACTGAAACATACTGATACGTGGAAACAACGACACTCCGCAGATAACGCTGTGATTTTTAGTCAGAGAAAGAGAAAGAAACAATCGTTTTGTACGCAAGAAAGAACAGGGAAACTGAAAATGGTGATTGAGACTAAAAGAAAGACATATCCATTTAGAAGAATCAATAATGACGTTTGAGCGGAAAAAGAAGGAGACGGGGGGAGGGCAGACACCGCTCTCTTCTTTAACCACACTATTTCCTTTTGGTTATTCGATCATTGAAAATCAGTGGTTTTTTAAAGAATTGTTTGTTTTGCGGATTAAAAAAAATCAAAAAACGAATAGGAAAGAACTTTATTTACATGAAATCATTTTTCAGAAAAAAATTAATAAACTAAAAACCAAATATGTTTATTTAAGAACCAAATTGATCAGATTGATCATCAATTTGTTCGAAACGATAGGATCCACGTCCATCCATGTAGAGAGAATATTCATGATATTTCCAGAGAGACTTTCGATGAGAAACCGTGAATAAAGTGATGTTCATCTCACGACACAAACGGTACATTGCTCCTGAAAAAGATTAAAATAGAATAGATTTTAAAAAAATTATTGGTTACCTTCCACATCAACACTAACTGCCGATGTACATTCGTCCAAGATGGCAAATTGTGGTCTGTGATAGAATAGACGAGCCATCTGAAATAAACGTTGTTTTAATCTGGATTTCTTTCGATTTTCTCAGAAATCCGAAATTCAAAACCACTGGACTTCAATATCATTCTGTAGAGATTTTCAAGTCATACATTTTGGTTTTCCAATGAAACAAAAATATCAATTTTGACGCTAGTTATGGGTCAGCGAAGTTACGACATTGTGCATCGACTCCATTTTGGGCGTTTTCTTTGAATATTCAAAAATCCAAACCACTAGATTTTTATACCATTTTTTAGAGTTTTTCAAGCATGTTGAGCGCCCACACACTGTCAACTTTAAGCTCAATTATCTCGATTCCTTTGCAAGGTATCAAAAATGTGTCATTCGAAAAAAATTCTGATATTATGATAAACATTTTATCAGTTGACAACTTCTTCGTATCTTCGACAGGAATCGAGAAAAATTGGCTCAAAGTCGAAAGTGATTTTTAACTAACCGCAATTCTCTGTTTCTCTCCTCCTGATAGCACATCCATCCAATCTTGAACAGCACTCCATCCACCTTCTCTTTCCAAAATATGGGTCAATTGAACATATTCCAGCATTTGTTCCAAATCCTTATCTTTCAATCCCTTCAATTTCATATCAAATGCAGTATCTGGGTAAATTACTTGATCCCGAAGAGTTCCAAGTGTCATGTATGGTCTCTGTGGTACGTAGAACAATTTTCCTTTAGTTGGCTTTGTCAACGTTCCTCCAAATACAGGCCACAATTCTCCAAGTGTTCGGAATAGAGAACTCTTTCCACATCCATTTGGTCCACAAACCAATACATTTCTTCCCGAGGGTACTTCAAACGAAAGGCTTTCAATGAGTACATCACCATTTGGTGTAACCAATGGGACATCATCAAACTTGATAATATTATCCTGAGCAACCAATTTTCCATTTCCAGCTTTCAATGTCAATCTCTGATGCTCTTCTCCATTTTCATCTGCCACTTGAGCTTTCTCAAACTTTCCAGCCTTCATATCATCCAAAACTTTCATCAGAGTATCAACTCTTGTTGTGAATCCACTTAACCTTGTCATATCTCTTCCAGCCAATGCCAATCTTCCGAGAGCTTCGGACAGTTTCAGCATCATTCTTCCATTATTGTAAAGCTCTTGCATCAATTCGTTTCTGTCCATTTCGTTGAACTTCTCGTTGTTGACGTCGAAAAATGTCTTGGCACAAGCCATCCATCCCACAATATTGGTAATGTACTTTCCAACTATGTTGTCCACAAATCCGAGAGTAAATCTGGAAAAAAAACAACATTGGAGGCAAATTCACAGGCAAGGTGGGGCTGGCTAAAAACGGCTGACAAGTTCCCAACCATTTTTAAATTTTCAGAGGGTTGGAAAACAGACCTAGATTAAAAACTTTGCATTCACAGGTTTTTTGGCGAATTCCTACTTATTAAGCTATTTACCGATTTCGGGAAGAACCCCTTTTTTCCGGTTTGTACTGAAAACGCTATAAAAACATATGTTGTTCAGAAATCGGAAAATATTTGAAAAACTGAGAATTTTCAAAAAATTTTGTGAATACAAAGTTTTCAATTTAAGTCTGTTTTAGACCATCCAAAACTTTCAAAGTTATCGGAAACTTGACAGCTGAGCTTCAGACTCCTAAAAATGGCCGAAAATAAACTGAAGAATCAGTTTTTGTATATTTTATGAACTGTAGAGCTTTGTGCCAGCAGTTATCCGCCAGTTTGGGTGAAAAAACTCAAACTAAATACCTAAACATGATAGTCTTCCTCAAATGATAAACCAAATTATTGAACGAGCCCATCAGTGCCTGCTTCTCGGGTTTGTTTCCTTGATAGAATGCAATTTCTTCACTGTTCATGATCAATCGGGAGTTCACATATCTGTATTCTCCTTCCAATACTTGTTCTTGTACTGTCAGCTTTGCAATCTAAAATTTTCATTCATTCAAGCTCTCTTACTAAAAAATAACCTACCGGTCTTCTGAGTTTTGTCAAAACAACCATTGAAGCCATCAAATATCCGAAAAGAAGTCCTGGTCCACCCCATCCGAGTGCTCTTCCCAGTTTGAAAACGTACAAGAACACATCGAGGATTGGTTTCGAAAGATTTGAGTACAGCTCAACAATTCCATCACAGAATTTCTCAACGTCTTGTGTCAAAAGTTGATCTGGATTCTGAATTCTATTGTCCAGATTTGAGATCTGATAGAAGGTGAATCCTCTGAAAAGTTGGACCAATTCAAATGTGGACAAATTCGTATCACCTTCAACTCACCCCAAATACTTTCCGTACAAATGTTTGGTGAGATTCTCTCTGAATCGAAGTTTCAGTTCAGACAATGAAAACTGAAAATTTAAAGAGTTTAGTTTATACTTTCAATTCGCTTAATATCGGAATGATAAAAAACCCACCTTGAGAAGGGCATTGATAAGAGAAATAGCTGGTAAATTGAGGAAATATTTGAACACTGACATGGCGAACATTATCGGACTCCGATCGATAATTGAGCTGATAGTTGGAATTCTTTTTCTATTAAAAAATATGCTCTTACGCTTCAACACTAGTGGCATTTGTAATCATGTAGACGTCAGCAATCGTACGAGCAAGAAGAACAAATCCAATGACAATCATATAGAACACTCCGTCGAAAATGGACCGGGTATCAGAATTTTCAAAAGTTTTTTCAACTTTGCGAAGAATTCCGCGTTCAGCGATGCCTTCGATTTCTTTGCAGTTCCAGCACCGACAGTTTCAGACAACGAGAGTCCTTTTCCTTCATTTCTGAAAAAATTGGTTTTGAAGTTCTAACACAGGTAAAAGGCGAACCGGGCGGGAACTCGTAACGGATTGTTCGCGAATCACCTGTGAAAAAAGTTGAATTTGAAGGAACTGGGACCCGTTATAGAAGGGCCCCGAGCTTGGTTTAACCTCAATTATCTCGGCTCCTATAAGAGATATTAAAAAATGGTCAAGTGATAAAATGTTTGTGACAATATGATAAACAATTCATCAATCTACAACTTTTACATATCTTCAAAAGGAACCGAGAAAAAATTAGCTCAAATTTAAAATGTATGGGGCACTTCTATTGCAGGTTTTACGGCATGTTTTCAGAGTGCTAAATTAATCATGAGGTGCTCAAGTCATATGATCTTGGGCTGAAAATATTGTTCCTGTGGTGGAAACAAAAGGATTAGTGTTGTTCTAAAGGTCTTTGATTATTAATTTTTTTTTGATTTCATGACTTTACACAAAATATAATATTTTTTTTAGAATGCCAAGTTTCTTCACAAAATGGGGTTCCCATTTTGGCGGGTGGATAAATGGGCCACCCGTCGGTCGCCCGTGAGCCGCCCGGGCGGGTGCGTTCGGGTGAATTGACTTTTAAGTGCAGCAAATTCAACTAACCATCCACCAGCGGTTGAAATCAAATTAATTTTTTGGAATACCGGATATCTACCATGTTTGCTCTAATCCAACCCAAACTGGCAATATTCAGCCCATTTATCTCAGTTTCTCTGAAAGATATCAAACAGTGATCAACTGGATAAATATTTTTGAAATTATGATAAATGTTTTATCAATTAACTGCTTTTTGATATCTCTTACAGAAATCGAGATAATTGAGCTCAAAGTTGATGGTTTGGATAAGCTTTTATTAAAGGACAGGGAAGTTCAAATGTCGGAAAATTCTTACTAATCAACAAAGAAATCAAAATGAAAATCTAGATAATTTTTTACCTGAAACTAGAAGAATAAATCTTTGCAATTGTAATGCATCCGAAGATTCCGGCAAAGGCTGGAGACCAGTTCTTGTAGGTCAGCGTTGAATTCAAAAGTTGTAATTTAGAAAGCACAGCCATTTCTGTACTCAAGTTATTCTGAAATATATTAAAATTGAAGAACCGGGAAGAAAATTTTCATGAGACAAAAGGAAAACTTTGTGTCCATTGTTTGAAGCGATAAATCAAAAAAGGGAATTGAGTGATGGTTGAAGCATCAGAAATGCAGCGGAGAGTTGATAACTGATAACCACTACCGTCTTATGTAAAGAGGCTTATTCCGTGATGGAGAGGGGGGAGGGGAATTCCGTTTTGATAAGGATCCGAAAAGAGGAAAAAAGATTGTCTGCTGCTTGGACCGGATACTCAAGCATCATCAAAAAATTATATTTTCATTTGTAGAATTCAGACAATTTATTTCAATATTTTGACCAGTTTGAGTAGTAATATAATTTTAGAAATTCAGAATAAAAAATAATAATCAGAAAAATTTATCATGAACCAAATTGATCAGATTGATCATCAATTTGTTCGAAACGATAGGATCCACGTCCATCCATGTAGAGAGAATATTCATGATATTTCCAGAGAGATTTTCGATGAGAAACTGTGAATAAAGTGATGTTCATCTCACGACACAGACGGTACATTGCTCCTGAAAGTTTGAATTTTTATCAGGGATAGTTTTTTTGTGGACTTTTTTTGGCATTATCAGTTCAAATCGTATAGTTTTAAGTGTCGTTTTTCTCTGATCTGGTTAGTTTTGGACCAATAGTTATAATGTAACCTCTAGAAAGACAAAAAAGTGGCAAAAAAGTGGCAAAAAAATTTTTTTTTGGAATCTTAAACTTTTTCTTCTTATCATTATCAGCATTCCAAAGGGCAAAGTATCTTAATTATTTTTTTCGAGCCTACCTTCTACATCAACACTGACTGCCGATGTACATTCGTCCAGAATCGCAAACTGGGGTTTATGATAGAATAGACGAGCCATCTGAAAAAATGCACTGATTTTCCTGGTTTTTTGCACTTTTCTCAAAAATCAGAAATTCAAAATCACTAGATTTTTGTATTATTTTGTAGAAATTTTTAAGCCATACATTTTCTTTTTCAATAGAAACAAAAATAACAATGTTGACGCTAGTTATGGGTCGGCGGAGATAGGACATGATGCATCGACTCCATTTCGGGCGTTATTCAAAAAATCTCAAATTCAAAAACTTTCGATTTTTATCATTTTGTAGAGATTCTCAAGCCCTACATTTGCTTTATTGAATAAAACAAAAATACCAATTTTGACGCTAGTTATGTCGGCGAAGATACGGCATGGTGCATCGACTCCATTTTGGGCGCCCACACACTGTCCACTTTGAGCTCAATTACCTCAATTCCTATGCAAGATATCAAAAACTGATTAACTGACAAAACTCTTTTGATATTATGATAAACATTTTATCAGTTAAACACTTTTCGATACCTTTAACAGGAAGTGAGATGAATTGGCTTAAAGTTAAACTTTGCAAACTTACCGCAATTCTCTGTTTCTCTCCTCCTGATAGCACATCCATCCAATCTTGAACAGCACCCCATCCATTCTCTCTTTCCAAAATATGAGTCAATTGAACATTTTCTAACATTTGTTCGAGATCCCGATCGCTAATTCCCTTTCTTATCATATCAATCGGTCTGTCTGGATAAATAATTTGATCACGAAGAGTTCCAAGTGTCATATATGGTCTTTGTGGTACGTAGAATAGTTTTCCCTTTGCTGGTTTTGTAAGAGTACCACCGAAAAGTGGCCAAAGCTCTCCAAGAACACGGAATAGAGAACTCTTTCCACATCCATTTGGTCCACAAACCAACACATTTCTTCCTGACGGAACTTCGAAATCCAAACTTTCAATTAGAACATCTCCATTCGGAGTAACCAATGGAACTCTCTCAAATCGAATGACGTTATCACGAACAAGTAAGTTTCCAGATCCAGCCACCAAATCACTCTTCAAAAGATAATTGATTGATTCATCCTTCTCTCCAATCATCGTTCTCTTATAATTTCCATTGTTAACGTCATCCAACACATTCAAAAGTGTATCCACTCGACTCGTGAATCCACTTAATCTGGTCATATCTCTTCCAGCTAACGCAAGTCTTCCGAGTGCCTCCGCCATTTTGTACATCATTCTTCCAGAATTGTAATACTCTTGCATCAATTCATTACGAGACATTCCAACAAATGGTTTATGATTCTTGTCGAAGAATGAAGATCCAACGGCGTACCATCCGACAACAGTGGCCAGATACTTGGCGACAATGTTGTCAACAAATCCAATAGAGAATCTGGAATTTTGCCAATGTTGAAAGTGAGTTATAAAGTGGAATAGAGTGTTCCCCGTTGGAATACATAGTTAGAAACGGGTCCCTGACGGGCCATCGGCGGCTCTGCCATAGTTTCTTTTACAATCAAGAAACTCAGACCAACTAAATCAGATATCATAGAACTCAACAAAAACTACAAAATAATGCTGTTTGCAAAACTTTATCTTGTCTATGAACAAAGTTATAAGACATAAAATGGCTGATCCTGGCCGAGCCATGCCTTCGTCTGTAACTTGTGGTTCATAGACAAGACACCGTTTTTCAAATGGTATCATTTGTTAGTACTTGTCAAGTTCTATCATATCTAATTTAGTTGGTTCAAAAATATTGATTCTAAAAGAATATGTGGCAGAGCCGGCGAGGGTCCGCCAGGTGCCCGTTTTATACAAGACTGTCCCCTTCTCCAGTTTTCCCAAATTAAACACTCACCGGAAGAGAATAATCTTTCGAAGATGCTGTACGAGACTAGCAAATGTGCTCATAATTGTTTCTTTTTCACTCTGATTTCCTTGATAGAATGCAATTTCTTCGCTGTTCATGATTAATCGAGAGTTCACATATCGATATTCTCCTTCCAGAGCTTGCTCTTCCACTGTCAATCTTCCAATCTAAAATTTTGATTTTCTTAGAAAACAAATTTTTAAAGAGACACTAACCGGTCTTCTCAAATAAGTCAATCCGACTCCAGTGAACAAAAGGTAGGAGAAAAGGATGGATGGAGAAGAGAATCCGAGAGATGTTCCCAAGCGGAAAAGATACAAGAAGACGTCGAGAATAGGCTGAAATATAAATGAATTGATTTTACAGAAACCGAGATAAAATAGGTCAAACTTGACAGTCAGTGTGAGGGTCCTTCTATTACAGGTTTTACATTAACATACCTTCGAAAGATTTGAATACAATTCAACGATTCCATCACAGAATCTATCAACATCCTGAGTCAAAAGTTGATCTGCGTTCTGAATTCTCGTGTCCAAATTGGACATTTTGTAGAAAGTGAATCCCCTGAAAATCTTTTTACTCATTGATAATTCAATTTTCCAAATACTTGAGATATTGAGAGTAAAGATGAGTGGATAGTCTTTCACGGAATCGAAGCTTCAATTCTGCGATTCCAAACTTCAGAAGTGCATTCGTAACGGAGATTGCTGGCAGATTGAGAACATATTTGAATGCTTCCAAAGCGAACAGAAGAGGATTTCGGTCGATGATGGAGCTGAAACAAAAAGAATTGAACCAGTTATCGCTGCCGAATACCTTAAAACCTGAAGTAGAAGGGTCCTCTAACTTTTATCTTTGAGCCCATATATCTCGGTTACTGTCGAAGTTATATAAAAGGTGCCAACTGATAAAATATTCATTATAATATCAAAAATATTTCATCAGTTGACAAATTTTTGATATCTTGCATAGAAATCGAGATAATTGAGCTCAAAGTTGACAGTGTCTAAACTTACGCTTCAATTTTCGTAGAAGTTATAATCATGTAGACATCAGCATACGTTCTACAGAGAAGTGAAATTGCAATGAGTGCTAGATAAAATGCCTCTTTTGAGAATAAACTTGGAATCAGAATCTTCAGAATTCGAGCCAATTTGCTGAGGAATACTCCATCCACATGAGCTTTCTGTCCTTTTGAACCGTCTTTCTTGGTTTTTGCTACCAGGTGTTTGGTTCCTCTGAAACGATAAAACATAAAAAATCTAGAAATTCTGAATTTTAGAAATTCTGAAATTAAGAAATTGAGAAATTCCGAAATTCTGGAATTCAGAAATTCAGAAATTCAGAAATTCAGAAATTCCGAAATTCTGGAATTCAGAAATTCAGAAATTCAGAAATTCAGAAATTCAGAAATTCAGAAATTTAGAAATTCAGAAATTCAGAAATTCAGAAAATCAGAAAATCAGAAAATCAGAAAATCAGAAAATCAGAAAATCAGAAATTCAGAAATTCAGAAATTCAGAAATTCAGAAATTCAGAAAATCAGAAAATCAGAAAATCAGAAATTCAGAAATTCAGAATTTCAGAAATTCAGAAATTCTGAAATTCAGAATTCAGAAATTCAGAGTTCAGAAATTCAGAAATTCAGAAATTCAGAAATTCAGAAATTTAGAAATTCAGAAATTGAGAAATTCAGAAATTCAGAAATTTAGAAATTCAGAAATTCAGAAATTCAGAAAATCAGAAAATCAGAAAATCAGAAATTCAGAAATTCAGATATTCAGAAATTCAGAATTTCAGAATTTCTTCTGAATTTCTGAATTCTGAAATTCAGAAATTCAGAATTTCTGAAATTCTGAAATTCAGAATTCAGAAATTCAGAATTCAGAAATTCAGAAATTCAGAAATTCAGAAATTCAGAAATTCAGAAATTCAGAAATTCAGAAATTCAGAAATTCTGAAATTTAGAAATTCGGAAATTCAGAAATTCAGAATTCAGAAATTCTGGAATTCAGAAATTCAGAAATTCAGAAATTCAGAAATTCAGAAATTCAGAAATTGAAAAATTGAAAAATTCAGAAATTCAGAATTCAGAAATTCAGAATTCAGAAATTCAGAAATTGTGATATTCAGATATTCTGATATTCAGATATTCGGAAATTCAGATATTCAGAATTTGGAATTTTTATAATTTTCAAAGATAGTACTATGGTAAATTCATCCACAAGCACGCAAATACAAAATTCTTCGCGAATTGATCAGATTGTAGTTTGGAACATAAGAGATATTGATTTCTCCGTTGATACCGATGCGTTATTACCTACCTGATATCCTGTTTATACAATTTGACCAATGCCAAGACAGCCAACATTCCAACCATTCCTGGAGCATATTGTTTCGCTGGAACCGCTTGCCCGAGCAATTGAAGTTTCGAAAGAACTGCCATATTTCGATAAAGAAGACGTCGTGCGCAAGAATAGGCGACAATCTAAGTGTTCAGTTCATCATCTCTATCGCCTTATCACTTCTCCAAAAAGGTCAAAACGAGAAAGAATACAGAATACGGAGATCACAGAGAAACAGAATCAGTATGGCTATACTGTAGTCGTTTGTAGCCGAAAAAAAAAATCAGGAGACGTTTTTTCTTTTTCTTCTGGCATCATACTAAAATTTAACCGAAGTAAATACAAAGTAACCTACGCGTAGCTATAACTCTAGGCTGATAGCAATACGCAGTGACAGTTTACAGGCACAGCAGCGAAAAACCGATTTTTCAAATCGGTTTTAAATACCGTACCTCACAATTGAACAATTTTGAAATACGGTATTAAAGGCACATGCACTTAAAAAATTTGCCTTGTCGCTGCTGGACCAACTATGCGCCTTTAAATACATTTCCGGCCGCAAGGCTCATCGCGTCAGACAAGGATAGCTCGATTTTCGGTCATTTTCAGTCAATTTTTCATCAAAATTGTTATTTTCAGACTTTTTTGGGAAGAAAAACAAACAAAAACCATTGAAAAACAAGAGAATAAATAATTTTTTAGGTTACTGTAGTAAAGACCTTCGGCCACGGCCGCCTCTTCAACAGCTCCGACTTTTTGGGTACCAAAGAACTTTTTGGGTACCATTGAAAAAATAAAAACAGTTAAAAACCCAAATTTGCTTCTGCAGTGTACTACAGAGTTGCCTTCCTTTTTATCACATTGTTTTTATTGCTTTTTTCCTTATCAGATCATCGATGTCACTTTGTTGTCTGTTATGTCAAGCCTTAAAAGAAACCAATTCATACACTTATTGCTCTTACAGCTGTACATGTAAGAAACATTTGGAACCGAAGATGAAAAACAGGGAAAACGAAATGAAATTACATCCTACAATCAGAAAAAGTGGAAAAAGGATACAGAGATACCCGAAAGCAATATAGAAAATATAAACAATTTAGTCGGCGGATGGCATAACCTTCAGACGATCGAAAGCGGCCTTCTCGAGAGATTCGCGTTGACTTGGATGAGAAATCTTGATCAATTCGTAGGCACGTTGACGCATGTTCTTGCCCCAAAGTTGAGCAATTCCGAATTCAGTGACTACGTAGTGCACATGGGCGCGACTTGTGACGACTCCAGCTCCTTCATTGATGGTTGGCACGATTTTACTCTGTCCCTTCTTTGAGATAGATGGAAGAGCAATGATTGGCTTTCCGAGACCGTCGTTTCCAATTGCAGCTCCACGAATGAAGTCGACTTGTCCTCCGAATCCAGACAAGAATCGCTTTCCAACAGAGTCCGCGACGACTTGTCCAGTCAAATCAATCTCGACAGCCGAGTTGATAGCAGTGACTTTAGGATTCTTACGAACGACAGCTGGATCGTTGACCCAGTTAACATCTCCGAACTCGATGAGTGGATTGTCGTTGAGGTAGTTGTAGAGCTTGGTAGATCCATAGACGAAGGATACGACAAGCTTTCCTGGGTGGATTGCTTTCTTGGAGTTTGTAATAGCGTTCTTTTCGATGAGGTCGAGAACTCCGTCAGAGAACATTTCGGTGTGAATTCCGAGATCTTTGTGGTTGCTGAGAGCAGAGAGAGCAGCATCTGGGACAGCTCCAATACCTAAAAAATTGAACAATGAAAAGTTTTGGTCTACGTGTATCTAATTCTTACCCATCTGAAGTGTGGCTCCGTTGTCAACAAGATTCTCGGCAATGATTTGTCCGATCTTCTTCTCTTGATCGTTTTGTGCTCCGATGTTGCGTTGGTGAAGTTCGAACCCATCGGCTTCGTTGACGAGGTAATCAATTTGTGAAACGTGGATGACTCCGTCTCCGAAAGTGCGTGGCATATTCTTGTTGACCATAGCTAGAATTCAGAAGTGTGAATGTGAAAATTGATAGAAATAACTACTTACCAATAATCAATGGAGAGTTGGTGACGGCAGCACGAGCAGTATCCACAGAAGTACCAAGGGAGCAATATCCGAAGGCGTCTGGTGGAGAAACGTGGATAAGAGAGGCGTTCAACTTGATGGCTCCCTTGCGGAACAACAGTGGGACTTCATACAAGAAGCAAGAGTTGAAATCGGCGATTCCGTTGTTGACAGCGCCTCTCAAGTTGTGACCGGTGAAGAGGGAGTTGGAGCGGACTCTGTCTACAAAATTTGAAATTGTAATTACTCTCAAAACTTGATTCCTACCTTTAACTCCATCAGCTGTCCATGGGGTGGCTCCTTCCAAGTGCAAATGATGCAGTTTAACTCCCTTCAAGTTGTTAGCAACTGCGTGCTCCGAGAGACTTTGAAGCAGTGGTGTTGGGGTTGCAGCGATTCCGTGAACGAAGACGTTGTCGCCACTCTTGATTTCGCGACAGGCATCGGCCAATGAGACGACCTTTGGAGATTTTCCAGCGATTGGAAACGCGACCTCTCGCTTGTCTCTAAAGACGCCAGCCGTTCTCGAGCAAGAAGCAGAAGTTCCGAAGGAGCGAGAAGTGAGTCTTGAAAGCATCCTGGAAAGAAAGAATTGAATGAATTGATCAAAGAACTTGGTTCGTCGAAACAAGAAGAGAATATTAAAGTGGTATGATCAAGGCAATTTCTTATCTGTTTTGCATTCTCAGCAGAAAGTTGAACAAGAAAATGAAAAAAAAGCGAAATACGAGAAACATAGGACTGCTGTGTCGAAGAAAGCATCTGTCCAGAAATAGTTGATTGATGAGATTGAACTTTTGAAGGATCCCCGTTGAGCGTTCAATTCAGTGGGAAGAAGGACTTAATGGGAATGGAGAAGCTTCTCGCGAATAAATACAACTCCACTCAACAAAATTAGATTGTGCTCGCTGTCCTTTCCGCAGAAACGACGACTATACATTCTATTCATATGATGATTCAATTATTAGCATATCAATGAATTCGTGTCGATAACAGTATAATTTTCGACCGTAGATTGCCTTGGGAGGTAGTGAAATAAGCTAGCTTTAAGCTTTCCGACAAGCAGGTATCATTGAACGATTTTTAACTAGAGAAAATGAAGAAAGAATAAACAGTTGTCGGGCGATTTCAAGTATTTTGGCGGTTTTTGTTCTTTGGTGCCGGGAAAATGTACCGGCTTGACTGTCAAGTCTTGGCACCTAAATGAGAATTTTTAACAATAAAAATGTTTCCGAGCCAAGTTGAAAATATAATGCATTGTTTGAAGAATAGTTCTTCCCGCTGTTGTAAAAAAGTATCGATAAAAAATCAAACATCCCATCGCAAAAGGCATCACTTAATTCGAATTAAAGTCGAAACACAATTATTTTTGTTTGTTTCAGTTGATAAATTTGATTGAAAAAATTAATATAAATTAGAAAAGAAGCTATTTAACAGCGTATTTTCGAGTGCCTACGTGCCATCAGCGAAGAGCAAAAGAATAGGAGAAATCAAGGACATCCAAAGGGACACGACTGACTACTGCAAAACAACGTGGGGTCGAGTGCTGGGAGACGAAAGTTGTGAGAAGGGGTGGGGAGGGGCAAAGCAAAAACTCGAAGCGCTGATCAGAAAACGCTCAATTGACACAAAATGCACGTGGTGGTGAGCAGAGAACGGTGTGAGGAATGGTTGAACGAAGAGAAACAGACGAGTTGAGGAGCGCCCGGGCGGCCTCGTCCGCAATGGCGCCTTCTATATGTAGAAAAAGGAAAAAAAATGGATAACGTCTACATACAATGCTGGGAAGAGAGATGAAGAAAAGAAAAGAAAAACTTCCAAGAGAAGAGATATGGAGTCCAGTTTGACAAGAAAAGAAAAAAAATAAGAAAAAATCCTTCGAAAATGTCTTATTCAGTAAATACAGACTAAAAATAAATAAGCTAAAGTACAATAAATTTTACATAAAGATCATACAAACTGGCGACAATATGTTCTTTGGAGACCGAAAAAACAACTGGGAAAAGAGATTTTTTGGCGCAATTGTGCACCCAATGTGACAGTTCAGCGGTATCAAGACCAAAGTACTCGGGAGAAAAAGCATCGGAGAAAAAGAGAGATGGGTGATCTCGATCAAAGAACCCTCAAGAAACTGTAGTGTGGCAGTCACGAGGTGGGGTTTTCAGTGCGTCAACTGTCGCACTGGAGGGTTTTTTGATCGAGCAGAGTACGAAAAGCAAGTGACACAAATATATATTAGCAATGAATCGAGAGATTAGATGAGAGTATTATCCCCGATCTTTCGGAAGGTGTCGAGGAAAGTTGTGCAGCTGTACTTGTAACCAAACGACGACCTCAGTGCATTGAAGTTGAGAGTGATCATTTCGTCCATGGACAGGTTGAACACTTTGGCGACTTTGAAATATTCCTCCGACAACGAGGAAGCGGGGAATATTCCCTTGTCATCCGTCTGAAGAAAATTCACAGTTTCTTTCATTTATATCCAGGGGCTCCTGGACGTTTCAGAACAGCGACGTTTCAGAACAATGACGTTCCAGAACTTTTCTACAATTTTACATAGTGGATTTTGCAGATCAAATGAGTATTGCTCATTTCAATTTGTTGTTTTTTTGCTTTTTATTTGTTCTCATCTACCGTACTCTAAATAATGATAGGTTCAAACTCGGAAACTCTCAAAAAAGCGAAAATTGAAAATTTCAAAAAACGTTGTCTAAAAGTACGCAAAAAATCTTGTTTTGAAAATTTCAATTTTTTCGATTTTTGAGAGTTCCCGAGTGTGAACCTATCATTGTTTGGAGCACTGTAGAGAACGAATGAAAAAACAGAAAAGGAACAAATTGAAATGAGCTATTCTCATTTGATGTGCAAAAACCACTACGCAAAGATACAGAAAAGTTCTGAAACGTCGGGTTCTGAAACGTCCAGTAGCCAATCTAGGTACTCACATTTATGGATACTGGGATACCTCGATCTCTCCAATACTTGAAGTGGCTGTCGGCAGGGCTCGGCACTGTTTTCGTGTACACATTAGAGGAGAGACAAAGTTCTGAAAAAAAAATAACACAACTCAATATAATAAATCGGAAATACCCAATGGTATCTTATAGAACTGCACAATTTCTACAAGTTTTTTGTTAGTGTGAAGAAATGTTCCATGTCCGATACGATCCGGTATTGTCAACATATAATCCAAGGTATCATCTGTGTAATCTTTCGTTTCTGCCAAGTGATAAGTGACTCCGAGACCATGGAATCGACGAGCAACTTGAAAGATGGAAACGAGGTGTTTTGCGTAGACTTTGGGATCTCCACTCAATTCAAGTCCGACAATCACATTAGACTCTGAAACCTCATTTTCAAAGGGTTTGGGCTTGAAGCAACGAACCTAGCTGCAGAACTCCTACGATGTGAAGAATGTGTGATGCAGTGTCGTAATTCATAGTTCTGTTGATTCCAACAATAAAAAATATTTTCATTTGAGGGAATAGCACTCTTGCTTCCAGAATAGCTCCAACAATTGTGCGGAGATAAGTTTCATAGTCCATGAATCGGGTATGTTTTGGCGTGCTACGAAGTTCCAAATAGATGCATCCGTCTTCACAGAACTCGCGACAAGTTTCAATAGTCGCCTGAAAAACAAAATTCAAGAAGAATTGTTCAGTCAATAACTTACGATTCTAAGATTCTCCGATTTTTCAAGAGCTTCATTCACTGCTCCGAACGACTCAAACACCTTTTTCATTTCTTCAGGTTTTTGAAGTCTATACTTGGCGATAGTTTGTATGCATTTATCTTTATTTCCAACAAGCTTCGAAATTGTTCCCGGCGAGAGACTTCCAGACAGATGTGCGTGCAACTCGATTTTCGGCATTGCTCGGAACATTTGCAATTCGTGTGCATGCACGTTTTTGGTCGCACTTCCATCGTTGATATTTTTCTGAGACTTTTGGAAATTTTCAGTTTTCAGAAGCGAATTTTTTCGGACTTACCTCCACTTCTTTGTCGAGCAACGCATTTTCCTCAGCATCTTTTTTCGCCGCTGCTTGCTCTCGGCGGGTTCTTTCGGCTTGAGATTCCTTTGGTGGCTGTTTTTTCTTCCCCTTCTTGTTGTTTCCCATCTCTAGAATATAAAAATCGGTTTCAAAGCCTAGTATAGAATGAGAAAAATAATTTTTAAAAAAGACGACAAAGAATGAGCGGGACCAACGCATGTAGCCATGGAAACGAGTCAAGTTGTTGAGAAAAAATAAAATTGTGACAGAAAAGCCAAAATTAGGCATTCAATACATATTTCAATATGCAATGATTTGAATTCTGACTCTAAATCTAATAAGATATCTGAAAATATTTCCAGCTTTTCGTTTGCAATAACAGCGCGCGATTTTAGCAAAAGCGCGGCGCGGTGCCGCTTTTTGCTTTCTTCCCGATTTCGGTTCCTTGCCGTGAGGAACAAGGCCTTTTCGAAATTTTTGAGAATTCAAATTTTCGAGTAGAAATTATATTTTCCCATCACAAAAACACCACAATATTGGTGAAAATTGAGAGCAGAAAGATTCGGGTAGCGCGAAAAATTACACAATTAATTCCGTTCGATGCCCAAAAGTGAATTTTTTGTGTGCGCCTTTGACATAGTAGTCCAAAAATCTCAAATTCCGAAAAAAAACGGTGTTTTTTTTTCTGTCAATTGAAAAAAAAATCTCGAAAATACAAATGTTCACAAATACTTACAACTGTGATCTAAAATATTTAATGGCATTTCAAACAACTTTTGTTGAATTTTCAGGAAAAAAACGCTATTTTTATTAATAAACAAACTAAAAAGTGAAATAATTCAAATCCGTAAATGGCACACATATTGCAACAGGAATGATATTTATCACAGAAGAATTCGGACTATATATCTAAAAGTATTTGTAGACTTGATCCACATTCCATGCACTGGCCGTGACTGTCCATTCTGGACTGTGGATTCGGTTTTCTTTGATTTTCGAGATCATATTTTTGATGGACTGTGATTGCATTTCGGGTCCGTGCAGATGATGACTAGAGATTCCAACTAGGAGAGGTTTTTCATCGGATGGAGTTTGAGTGGTTTTCTGGAAATTAAAACACATATAAGCAGAATATGACTTTCTCTACCTTGATGGTTATTTTGAACATCCATTCACAGATATTATTGGGTGTTGAGCATGTGAAATAAAGGAACATATTCTCTTGTGGTTCATTTGGAACAGTAACGGAAGTATTGGTAATTACCCATGTAGAATCAGGGATGATGTAGACAGAAATTTGGCCGGTTCCTAGAAAAGGGAGTTATAGATATCAGATGGTTTCCAGTTTATCTATTAGCCTACCAATGACTGAAAAACTGTATTCGATATTCCCTTTTCCATCCGATTCAACACCATGTTTCTTGGAGATTCCCAAAATCTTTACAGGGTGTTTAAAATTCAAACGCTCATCCACAGTTCTAACTCTGATATTTCTATCGTTTAATCGCCCCTTCGTAGGGAACAAAAACGGTACTTCACACCATGGATTGTTCTCATGATGGCACTGTAATCCAGTATATTCTGGATCACTCTTCACGAATGGAATATCCTCGGCTCCTCGGTAATCACGAGAAATCGCATAGAATCGCGTTTCGTTAACAGTGAGCTGGTTGTTTCGATCGTAGAACATTTGGTTTACATGCTGAAAAATTAATGATTTAAAAATCTCAAGAATTGGAAAAATCACAATACAACCTGTAAAGGAAGCCTCTCTCCATACTGTCAAGTTTGAGCTCAATTATCTCAATCCCTATGCAAGATATCAAAAATGTGTCCACTGATAAAATGTTTGTGATATTACGATAAACAATTTATCAGTTTAACACTTTTTTATATCTTTGACAGGATCCGAGAAAAATTGGCTCAAAGTTAAAAAGTAGGAGCCCTTCTATTACAGGTTTTAAGGTAACTTACGAAGAATTGGGTTCTCTTGGCAGTTGGGTACTTTTCGTCGAATCGATATGGAGATGGCCAGAAGCTAGCAAACACGTAGAGAATTGTCAAGGTAACTAGTACGACTCCTAGAAGGTTGTAGATGATTTCCAAGAGACCTGCCTCGTTTCTCGGGCGGGAATTCTGACTTTTGGCAACCAAGCCTCCCTAAAGAAAAAAAAGTAAAAATAGCATATTCGGCTGTTTTAAAAAAGGAACTCTGACTAAAAATTCTCTCAAAAATCGAATAAAACTACATTTTTCCCTCAAAAATTGCAAAAAACCGCTGGTTTTTCTTTTTTTTTGTTAGATTTTTCGAGAGAAAAATTGATTTTTCCTCCGATTTTTTGCAAAACTTTTAGACCTTTTTAGGTTTTTCAGCTATTTTTGACTACTCTTTTTCGATTTTTCTAATTTCTTTGTCTGAAATTTGACGGAGCGGTGTTCGTGCAGATTACTGTAGGTTACTGTAGAAAGCTATTTCCTTTCAGTTTATTTTTCAACACACAAATAGTTATTTATCTGCATTTTGGCGTGATTAGTTTGCAAAAGAAAACTACAAAACGAAATTCGTTTTCTACAGTAACCTACAGTAACCTTCATGAAAACCGTTCTGTCAAATTTCAGACAACCAACCGGAAAAATCAAAAAAGAATCGTCAAAAATAGCTTTAAAAACCTGAAAAGGTTCAAAAATTGCCCGTTTTTCTCTCGAAAAATTGCAAAAAAACCGCTAATTTTTCAGTGTTGTCAGTTTTGACGGGAATTTAAATAAAGATTGAAAAACATTCTAGAAGTTTCGAGAAACGAATGAGGCGTACATGTTTTCGAGACATTTTGTCGGAGCCCCCTTTAAATAATATTTTTCTTACCAGTGACAAAACAATGCAAGAAGCTGAGAAAGCCACAAAAAAGGATACTACTGGTTCCGGATTATACGAGCTTCTTCCCATAATTGGAATGAAAATGGAAAGGAGCATTTCAGTGGTATAAATTGCCATGGCACATCCTGGGAGAGATACCAATAGAGTTAGCAGGGTATTGAGGTGGGGGCAAGCTGAAAGGTTTTGAATTATGAGAGGTCCTAAATAATTGAAAAAAAACTCACTAGGAAAAGCTCCAAAATAAGATGCCAATGATTTCACAACTGGGATCAGAAGCAGAGCGAACAAGAATCCACTTGCAATATCGTAATAGGTGAAAATCAGAAGGATTCCAGATACTACAGTAAGATGAATCAAATCCAACGCTGATCCATAGTCTCCTCGAATCTTCGGATCCAATCTTGCACATAAAAGTCCTTGTACAGATAGACCAGCCCATACACTAGGCAATCCATATGCAACCAGAGCAAGCCAGTGTCTTGTGTACCATCTCAAAGCTCCATACGTGAAGAGAGACATGAAAGTCATGGCTTTCAGAACAAGTGCAATAGTCAAGACAGTGAGAATGTAGTCTCGAAGGGCCAAAAATGTTAGGAAAGATTTTGTGTAGAATCGGTGGGAAACTAATCCGAAGATGACCAAAATTGCAGTCAGATTGATGAAGTGGGCAAATGACAGTGGGTAGATCACAACGAACAGTCCTGAAAAAATCATTCGTGTTTTTCTCCTACAGTATTCTACTGGTTTTAAATACTGTATTATTCTGTTCCGAAAAAAAATAGAGATATGGAAGAGGACATCTTGTGGGCGTGTTCAGCGGTTTCACAACTACCGTAACCTAAAAAGAGTTTAATTTTCAGAGTTTATCTTTTGCTTTTCGTCCGTTTTGAGTAAATTTTCACTATCAAAAAAGATTTTCTGGGAAAAACCACAGGTGATTAAATGATTCTGAATTTTCGAACTTTTTGGAGTTTTTACATTTGGAACAAAAAAATGTTTTTGAATCTAAATTATTAAATTTCCAACGCATATTTTTTAGATTACGGCAGCTGTCGTTGTGGGACCTTCGACCACGGCCACCAGCTCCAATTTTCCCTGCGAAATAATAAGTCAAAACACAAAAACTCACCCAAAAAGTCAAAGAAAACAGTTTTCCTATCAGCGTACTCTGCTGGATTCTCCAAATATGGACTATTCAAAAGATGATTGAGTGTTGAATAAACGTTTTCTCCTGCTCTCTGCAGAGATCCTTTTGTGATCCTTTCAGCTGTATCAAACTCAGTGTGCCACCAATATCCATTCTGTACAAAGGCCAAATCAAGACCTGGAACCCTTCCGTGATCTCTGAAGATTCGAAAATCGGTGTCTCCTGGATAGACTCCGGATTGGAACACCTGAGAAGATCTTGGTAAATGTGCGCAACTTCAATCACAAACCTCCTGTCCTATGACACTGCAATGTGGATGAACAGCAGCTTCTAAGTAGGAATTCAGAAGCCATTGATTCGCTGGTCCCGCCTGAAAAAGAAGTTCACGGCCTCCAGATCCACTAGCTTCTAGGTTAATAAACGCCCGGATTTCGTGTCTCCAAGAATGCTGAGTAATGAATCCATGAGCAGCCAGAAGAGATGATTCTTCGGCTCCGTTGAAGAGAAAGATGACGTCATGGTTCAGAAGATGTGGGTTTTCCGAATACAAACGAATAAGCTCGAGCATCAGAGCGCAAGAAGATAAATCATCACTTCCAGCTGAAACTTATAGTTCTAGAAGAATATTTCAGGAATTAAAACATACCATTACTCGTTGGCCAGCTGTCATAATGACAATTCAGTAATACTGAAATTTGATCTTTTTTGTCTCCTGTTCCCAGTCTTGCCACAACATTCGACACCTACAAGACTTATAATTGAAGTATTACATAAGGAGGTGCAATTTTCGCAAATCTGAAAGTATGCATGCATACTTGTAAACCGGGCTCTGCCGAACCTTCACCGACTTTTCCATAATTTCTTTGAGAAACAATATTTTCAGATCTAGATACAATAGAATTGATGAGTATTACTAAATGATATTATTTGAAAAACTGTATCTTGTCTATGAACAAAGTTTCAAGTCATGCAGTGTCAGGTCCTGTTTTTTAGTTTGTTTTGTTTGTAACTTTGTTCATAGACAAGACACAATTTTTCAAATAGTCATTTTGTAGTACTCATCGAATTCATTTTGTAGTACTCATCAAATTCTATCATATTTGATTAAGTTGGTCCAAAAATATTGATTCTAGAAGAATCTATGAGAGGGCCGCCGAAGAGCCGCCAGAGCCCCGTTTTGAAATGTTCATGCAAAACTGTAAAACTCACATTTCTATAACATATATTCATTCCTTCTGTGTCATGAGCGGGAATGTCAAAGCATCCAGACACATATTGTGTATCCACATCGAATCTCAATCCATTCACATTTTCATTTGCCTTTCTTATATCGTTCAATTCTTTAAGAATTCGATTTCTTGTCAGCTCTTCACAGTTGTAACTTCCTGCAGGTTTCCATCCATAATCTGATAACTCTTGGAGGATCCCAACTGCTCGCTTTTCGGAAAATTGAGTTTCTTCTGAAAAAAGATTCGTTTTCCAGTTTTCAGAAAGTTAAAAAATTACGAAATAAATACCTTGATTCGGATCCTTGGGTTCTGGCAAACATTTGTGCAAAAAAGAAGCTCCAAATATGAGCAATAGGTAGTAGACAGCAATAATTTTCCAGTGAAGTGGCCTAAAAATTGGAGATGTGGCCTAAAAAATTGGAGGTCATCATGTTGCTGCACGCACCTTAGCAAGCTAGCATCTTTCTCTAAATCTCCATCTATTTCTCGGTTTTCTCTGTTTTCTTTCTTTTCCAAAAGATTCTGCTTCTGCTCATGTCGACGACGTATTCCAGTGGACATAATTGCCCTCTGAAATTCGAAATTATGGACTAAAAACTGTAAACAGCAGCAAGAAATGTTATGTTGGGTTCAATGGAAATTCGTGATCTGAAATTAAATAGTTTTCTTTATGAATTCAAACATAAACTGCCAGTTTTGGGTATGCGAATTGTGATAGTCTAGAATAGATATGGCGAGAGAGTGTGGCAATTTGAGAGACCATGCATGGAATTAGCAATGAGACGCAGAGAAAGGGAAAGAAACTGGAGGATGAGAATTGGGAAGAGCATGCAAATGTTATATAATTGATTTATGGTTTTAATTGAACATCATCTGAACCGCCGGAGACTGATAATAGGATTTAGATACACGAATACAACTGAAAAGTAAACAAGATAATCTGATCTTATTTCGTCGTTCTCAAAAAATCTACTAATAAATCGAAGAACAGCTCAAGATACACAAAACTATCAATTGATTTGAACAGAATTAAAATTTTGTTATTTAGAAACTGTGTATAGTTTCCTCTGGTTATCAGAAACCCATTCGAGACGGGTGGAGGGCAAACGTTTCCTTTCTCCACCCTCGCTGCTCTATTTTCCCCCCACTTAACGTTCTTCCCCTTGTCTATGTACTCTTGCCCCCATTCACTCAGATCTCATGTGGTCTAGTGGTTAGGATTCGTGGTTTTCACCCACGCGGCCCGGGTTCGATTCCCGGCATGGGAAGTTCCTTTTATTGGTTTTTTTCGATGGGAAATCTTGTTCAGCTGATGTTTTCCGAGAGTCAATGTTACTTATTTTCTTTTTATAAACATTGAAGTTCCCGAAATACTGTTTATTGAGCCTTTTTCCTTTCCTTTGTGGTCGCTATTTAGAACTCGCAACGACACTCCGTTATAACGCTACTGCGCACTGTTTAGCATAAAATTTTTTGTGTTTTTTGCGATGAGTTTTACCTTTTTTTGTATCTTCTCTTTGAATTTTCAGCTAAATACAATTTAACATATAGAATTTATATCAATATTCAACTAATAAGCGCTGTTTCTAATCAATTTTCTTCTGAAAATCACATTTTAGCAAGTTTTTTTTGTAATTCTTTGAATTTCAGGTGTGACCACTTCACAATGATGCATGGAAGAGGAGGTTTTCATCATGGGTGAGTTAGTAAACATTTATTCAGTCTGGTAAATAAAATTTTCAGCTCTGATCCTCCGTCAAAGCGTTACCGCCGCGACGACAATGCTGACCCGACAAATCCGAATCCATCGATTGTGGTCCATGTGCGAAATCTGCATCAAAAGGTTCATTCTTTACCTATATAATTTTTGTTAACAGTTGCTTTGCAGGTAACCGAAGCTGATCTCCTCGAGGCTCTTAGCACTTTCGGACCTATCGCGTATGCAACATGTATTCCTCATTCACGAATGGCTCTGGTGGAATTCGAAAATCTTGACGGCGCGAAAGCCTGTGTAAATTATGCGGCTACGAATAATGTCACTGTTGGAGGACAGGTAATTATGCATAAACTGTTTTCTCTTAATAAACCTTGAAGAAGTTTCAGGCAGCTCTGTTCAACTACTCGACGTCTCAATGTATTGAACGAATGGGATTTGAGGGATCCACTCCGAACAAAGTTCTCGTTGTTACTGTTTTGAATGCTACGTATCCCATCGACGCAGATGTCATTCATACAATTTCGAGCTCACAAGGAAAGGTTCTCCGTGTTGCTGTCATGCATAAACCAACGGTTGTTCAAGCACTGGTTGAGTTTGAATCAGTCGAAGTTGCAAAAGCAGCTAAACATGCTATGAACGGAGCAGACATTTATGCCGGTTGCTGCACCCTAAAAGTCGAGTTTGCCAAGGTTTGTTGAGTTCCAACACTGTTGGGCCAATAGGTTTTCCTGTTAATAAAAAATGAATTTTCAGCCAGATAGAGTTCGAGTGACCCGTCAGGACAAAGATCAAAGGGACTTCACACTTGCAGACCGTTCGTTTTCTTCTCTCGACCCGTTGTTTAATGCGCTGCTGTTTTCTCTAAATCCATATCTAATGAACTGGTTCCCTATGATTGCCTGTCTTGTTGTGTCTGTCGTTTTGGAAAACAACACGCCATACAGATACACAACAGAAATCAGAGACAATCAAAATGTGATATCATCATTATCAGATCCTTAAGAAACCTGATAATGATATATCGCCGCAAGAAAAAAAACAACATTTCAAAGCAAAACATATCAGCATTTTTACACAAAATTACCCAATCTTGCACATATCAGAAAGAATTTGAAAGTGCGCAACCGACAAGAACCCCCAATTTCAGATGAACTACCACAAGATTCTGGACGTAGAACATTGATTCCAAACAAACCAGATGACCGTTAGTTGGAAGACTTTTCTTCTGCTTTCCAGACAAAACTCTAAATTCAGATCGTCGCCCGTATCCAGAGCCACGAGATCAATACGATCGATACGGCTCACCGCAATCGCAAGCGCAGTACGGGTACTCAGGACGTGCTTTGCTGCCAACTCAAGATTTCTACGGTAATAGCGGTCCACCACAGCAACAAGGAGGAGGTTATTATGAAGAATACAATGACAGAAGAAGACCACAACAGCAGTATGGTGGACTGGGAGGACCGGTAATATCATTGTTAACTTCAAAATGTACCATATATTTTGTTATAGGGCTGTGTCATGATGGTCTACGGACTCGACCACGATAAAATCAACTGTGACATGCTTTTCAATATTCTTTGCCAGTACGGAAATGTTCTGAGAGTAAGCACTTTGTTATGGGATTTTCTTTAAATACCGTAAAACCTGTATTAGAAGGACCATCCCTTCTATTGTTCCAAAATACCGCCGGAGGGTTCTTCTATTACAGGAGCCCTTCAATTAGGCGGGCTTCTATTTTCCTAGCCATTTTTTCCAAAACTGTTGATTGAAAAGTTCGGTGAATCCTCATTCAAAATTCATGCTAAACTTAATAATTTAACCAAAATTGAGCATTTTTTGAGCAAAAATGAGTTTGTCAGCAAATTTCTGTGAATTTGTGGAATTTCCGGAATATTTTACATTGAAAACGTGCAGAAATTTTTGATTTTAAACAGTTCGGTTTTATGGAGTCTCTTCTATTACAGGGCCCTTCTAATAAAGGTTGTACGGTAGTCACACCATTTCTTGCAGATCAGCTTCATGAGAACCAAAACAGAGACCGGGATTATCGAAATGGGACAACCCAATCAGCGTCAGGATGTCCTTGATCATCTCCAAGGAACCGAGCTTTGCGGTCTTAAATTGGAATTCAAGCCCAGCCATCAAGAGTGTGTCCACTATCTTCGAGAACCTTTCTTGCTTCCCGATGGCACTCCATCTTTCAAAGATTACACGTCATCTCGCAATCAAAGGTTCACGACTGAAGAACTCTCCATGAAGAATCGAATCGTATTTCCTACAAAGGTTCTCCACTGGTTCAACGCACCAGGAACTATGGATGAGGCTAAATTGCTGGACATGATTGCCGAGAAAAGTCATCATAAACCGATAAAAGTAGAGGTTTTCCCATCGAGAAATGAGAGATCAGCTGCGGGTACTGTAGAATTCGATACTGTAGAAGCGGCAAACGAAGTGTTGGCTCTCGTCAATCATTCGCCAGTTGAAAGTCCATATGGAAGTGTAAGTGACTATTCAATATTCAAGATTCAAATCCATACATTTCTAGGCCCCATTCATCGTCAAGTGGGCCTATGCTACTCCACGCCGTTGGGATGGAAGTGGAGGAGAGCCACCGAGATATGAGGATGGTGCTGATGGAGACAGAAGAGAAGGGATTATTCAGCCAGCAGCCAGGCGTGAGTTTGGATAGACTTTTTCTCTGCAAACCTCGAAAAGTTTACAGCATTCCGACGTGGTGGACGTGGTGGCGGTGGAGATTTCGGTGGATACCGTCGTGAATCTTACAGAGGTGGTCTTCAAGGTTCTGGGCCCAATGATCGATACAATCCTTACCCGTCACGCGGAGGCGGAGGATTCCGAGGTGGTCGTGGAAGAGGTCGCTACAACGATTACTGAGCCGTTTTAAATGGTCAATTTATGACATCTATAAGCCTAGCTACCTCTTCCAAGCTCAATTCCCTTTTCCCACCCATAGTATGTTCTTTTATACCATACCATTACAAATTGTTGTCTGTTCTCACTTTCTTATTATTAAAGTCATATATCAATTTTTACATTTTATTCCTCTTTATGAACCTGAACTTTGAAATCTACTTCTTACTATTAAAACTTTCCTGTCTGTGTGTCTCGGACATTTATATTTTCCTATTTATTGTCGAGTATTTAACAGTAACCTTTTTCTGTGGTCTAAATATATGACCATATAGGGTAAACCAATTAAAAGTAATAGTAAGCCACAGATGGACCATCACTCGAAAGCTAAGCAACTTCTTCAGCAACGTGATGAAATAGACGAGAAGATCAAAGAGCTGATGCTGGTTCTTGAAACTGTAATACTAGTTAACATGAAAATTCCGATAACTGAAAATTTCCAGAACAACAGTACTATGGATTCTCCGTTGATTGATAGCGAAGGATATCCACTGAACACTATTGACGTCTACACTGTCAGACACGCCAGACACGATTTGATCTGTCTCAGGTTCTCAATTGGTTTCAAGGCTTTTGGAATTGACTTTTCTTTGACTTTTCAGAAACGATCGCACTGAATTGACTGAAAAAATTGTTGCTGAAATGGAAGGTGAAAAGAAAGAGAGCAGTGGATCTGTTGCTTCAGAAGAGAAGCCAGTTCACAGAACATCCAACACGCCATTCGTCAAAATCTCATCGGTCGTTGAGGCGTCGCCAGCGGACGTTGGAGGATTCAGAAAAGAGGATTTGATCATTCAGTATGGAAATCTTCATCATGGAAACTTCAGCGATATGCAACAAGTCTCACAGATTACTAAAGAATATGAAGGCGTTGGTTTCATTCTTCTTGGAAATTAGAAAGTATTCTAAATATTTTCAGAAGATCATTCGTGTGACAGTGATCCGTGACAACCGTCCAGTTCGTCTCGAAATTCGTCCGGCAAAATGGTCTGGACCAGGTCTTCTCGGGTGCAACATCGTTCCGATGGCGGGCGCAAATGTCTGATTATTTATTTTCTATCAGGAATGTATTTATTTATTTGATTTCAACTTGATTTTCAAGTACACAATGAATTATGCCGGTTTTATTTGAGACTTGAAACAATTGTAAACAACAACAAAAATCACATTTTGAGTGAAAACCCGTTAAGCAAAAATATGGAAAAAAAAACTAGTTTGAGTTTGAATCGCTTCTATCAATCAATTGTCGGCGACTGGCGGTTTCAGCGATTGTCGAAGGAAGTTTTGTGTTGAGTGTTTCGGGAAGGACAAGAGTTAGCAAACCGCCAGAAACTGCAATCAGTGATAGGGTGATAGCAGGTGCTAGAGCATGAACTGCGGTCTGAAAAAAATAGATCAAGGTTATTATGCTGGTTCGCAAAAAAAAAACAGAGCTGTGGAAGAGGTAATTTGGTGTCCGCGGCCATGGCCGAACTACCGTAATTAGCAACTTTTTGTCAGTTTTTTTGGCATTTTTTTTCAGATTTAGAAAAATTTTGTTTTCCGACTTGTTTGGAGTTTTTCAACACTAAAATTGTCGAAAACCAATAGGAATCGAGAAAAAAGGAATTTCTTGATTTTTTTTGTAATTTTCAGAATGTCTCCTTTTGTGGAATTTTCTTGGAATTTCCTGCACTCGCCGTTTTTTGCAACTTTTCGGAATTTCTTGATTTTTTTTTGAAATTTTTGAAATTTTTCGAAAGTTCTTGTTTTGTTTTTTTAATTTTCGAATTTTTTTAAACTTTCAAGGTTTTCCGGAATTTTCGGGATTTCTTGATTTTTTTGAAATTTCAAAAATTTTCGGAATTTCAAAAACATTCGGAAAACTTGATATACAAATGTTAGCGTTTGAGCGCATTTTCAAGACGTACTGAAAAAAACACCGTGATTTTAGGTTACGATAGTTTTCGTTTTCTGAAATTTTCGAAATTTTCAAAATTTTGAGTTATCGGAATTCTCGAATTTTTCGAAATTTGGATTTTTATAAATTCTGTAACTTCCGTGATTTTCGAAAATCTGGAATTTAGAATTTCGAGAGATCTGAAACCTTTGGAATTTTGGTAACCTTTCATAATATCTTGATTTTTTGGAATATAAAAAATTTTAAGAATTTGGGAGTTTCAAAAACATTCGGAAAATTTTTAAAATTTGGTATACAAATTCTAGCGTTCGAGCGCATTTTCAAGTGGTTCCGAAAAAAAACACCGTGATTTTAGGTTACTGTGGTTTTCATTACGGGGACCGTTAGCCACGCCCACAAGCTCTGATTTTTAAACTAGAATGAGATCGAAAACCTCAAAAATTTAGGGCTTACCAAGTGAGACAAATACGGAGAAAGCATTCCTCCGAATCTCGACAATGTCTCACAGAAACCAATGCACTTGTTTCTACCATCAGTGGGAAAGATCTCACTAGCAAACATGTAAATGCTCATAAAAGAACAAGAAATCGCGAATTTCCCAAGAAGCCAGAAATGAATGTGCCATTCTTCAGACGACAAAACGATGCCCAAAAACGACAACCCAGCGATAATATGAGTTCCCGAAATGAGCACTTTTCTTCCGTATTTGTTCATAAAAATCGGAGAGAAAACGTAGGCTGGAGCTTCCACAAGACTCATAAGAACGAAGTTCAAATAGATGTTTCCAGCAAGGTTTTTCGAGTAGAATGCCAATCCGAAATAGATAAAAGTATCGACGATCCTGAAATGGTTTTTGTTCGATTGATGATAAAATTTGTGTTATCAATTACCACAAATAGGTCATAACAAAGATGTAAACAATAAACATTTTGTGCTTCCACATTTCCCTGCATAGACTCTTGAAACTGGAGCCTTTTGGATCTTGAATCTCGACAATATCCATCGCTGTTATGTCTCCTTTTGGTCCACGAATCTTCTCGAGCCATGCTTCGATTTTCTCAGTTTGCTGACTTGAAACCAGATAGTGAAGACTTTCAGGGACTGTCCTAAAGATAAGAAGAAAAAGGATATTCAAAATCCAAAGTACAGTACTCACATATAAATAAGAATCGCCACAAAAAGGTTGGGAAACGAAATACAGAACATCAGATATCTCCAATCCGGTAGAATATAGGCTAGAAGAGCCAATAAACATGCTCCAACGACCCACATCAATCCGTAATAGACAGAAGTAAAGAATCGGAGACGGAGAGGAGTATTCTCATAGCCAAGAACCCAACCAGCTAGTCCGGAGGCCTAGAATTGGAAAACTCTTATAGCTCGAATCCGAGCCGTTAATTCTAAGCCTATATATCTCGGTTTCAGGAAAGATATCAAAACGCTGTCAACTGGTAAAATATAGGTTATATTATGCTAAACATTTTATCAGTTGACCACTTTTTGATATCTTTGATCATTTTCAGAAGTCTAGAGTTCGGTTGACAAGCTTCCGATGACTTTGAAAATTTCAGAGAGTGTATAACAGACCTAGATTAAAAACTTTGAATTTACAGAATTTTTCGAAAATTACAATTTTTCCAGATATTTGCCGATTTCTGAGGAATCAGCACAAAAACTGGCCAAAAATGGGTGCCTTTGAGAAATTGGAAAATACTTGAAAAGCTAGGAATTTTCAAAAAATTCTGTGAATGCAAAGTTTTTAATCTAGGTCTGCTTCACATTTTTCAAAAGTTTCAAAGTGGTTGGAAACTTGACATACGAGCTCGAGACTCCCGAAAATAGCCGAAAATCAACTGAAAAATACGTCTTTGTATATATTAATGACCTAAACTGTATCTCATTTTCAGTTAAAGATATCAAAAAGTGGTCAACAGACAAAATGTTTATCAAAATATCATACACATTTTATTAGTTGACCACATTTTGATATCTTTCACAGGAACCAAGATAAATTGGCTCAAAGTTGGCGGTTTTGAGGGCATTATACCAGAATGATTTTCTTTAGGATACCGTATTGCATCTAACAAAAGCCCACCTAACTTTGACCCAATTTATTTTGATTTTTGTGAAAAGTATCAAATAGTTGTCAACTGATTAAGTATTAGTGAGATTATGATAAATATTTTATCAATTCATACATTTTTATATATTTTGAAGGAACCGAGATAAATTGGCTGCAAGTTCAAAGTTAGGGAGACCTTCTATTACAGGTTTTACCGTATGAATCATCCAACTTACAGTATAGAATATTCCATGAATCAATCTCATTATACAGAACATCAGAATTGAATTCGAAAACGCAGAAAGAATCCCACTGCTAGCCATCAAAAGTACAGTAACCACAAAGACAGGCAACCGTCCATATTTATCAGCCAACGGTGGGATGAACATTCCACCAATCATATTTCCAACCATATAGAAAGTAGTCGTGCTGTCGGCAAGCCACGTGGCTTCTCCTGTTAAATTGAACTCATCAGCTACACCGATGAAACTGGAATTCTCAGGAGACTTGACGACAAACGATGGGCATAGACCAGTGAATGCCAATGGAGCCCACGCGAATCCGCACACCAAAATGCATGTTAGGATGTACCGGTTTCGCTTTTCTGAAAGATCATGTTTCAGTATTTAGGGTTGCGGAATTTTCGAAATTTTTCATAATCTTCAGATTTTCGAAATTTTTGGAATAGTTTTTTGGAATAGTCTTGATTTTTTTTTGGTTTTTCGGATATTTTAGAATCTCTTGATTTTCTTATTATTTGTGGAAAAATTTGGAATTTCTTGATTTTTGGAATTTTCAGAATTTTAAGACATTTTTGGAACTTCCGGAACTTTTGCATTTTTCCGAATTTTTCGAAATTTCTCGAAAACTTGCAGTTTTCTAACATTTCTTGATTTGCAGAATATTGAGACTTTTTGAAGAGTTCGGAAATTTGGAAACTTTCGGAATTTCTTAAATGTTTGGAATTTTTTCGGAACTTTTTGATATTTTTTGGAATTTTCAGATTCTCAGGATTTTATAAAACTCTCGAATTTTTGAAATTTTTTCTGAATTTTTGGAATTTTTGAAGATCATATGGAATATTAAGACTCTTAATTTAAGATTTGAAAGTATTACTTGGAAATTCAGAAACTCAGAATTTCTCAAAACATTTTGGAAAATTTCAAAAATATTGGACTTTTTCGATTTTCTCGATTTCTCGGAAACATGAGGTTTTAAAGAATTTTTTGGAAATTTGCGGAAGTTTTAGAATTTCCCAAACCTGGAAACTTTCAGAATTTTCCAATGTTTTGGAATTTCTTGTTTTTTTTAATTTTATTTTCAGAATTTAAATACATTTTTATAAAGAAATCGAAGAGGCAATATCTTCTTTTCTGATAATTTAGAGCACATCCATCAGCTTATGTCCATCATCCTAGCCAATCCAGCAATCCTACAGTAAACCTCCTACAGTATCCAAAAAAGAAGAAAAAAGTAGAATCAGACTCACCCAGCGTGTTGAGAACGTCATCGGCCGACAGTTTGTCAGAAGAAGAGGACATGTCCAGTTGACGTCTCCGGTGTATTTACCCTAGAAAAAATGAACATTGAGGGGGTGGGGGAATGGTTTCGGTTTTTGAGTGAAAACAATTATTTTAACCTCCGGGAGGATAATCTGTTCAAATTCACATGATTATGGTGAACATGTTTTTGAGAAGGGTGTGTGATGACGTATTTTGGGAATAAAAAAGGAAATTCTCGAAAACGATATAAAGATGATAATGATGATATAGATGATAGTAGAAAAAATTTTTTCGAAGATACTAAAATTGAAAAAAAGCTAAAGAATCTTCGAAACGGAAAAAGAAAGTACACTACTAGAAATAAAAGAGAAAAGACAGATAAAAAGAAAAGAGAAGTGATAAAAACGGGCAAACACACAAACTGAACGCTTGAAATCATAACCAAAATCTGATAAAGACAGACAATAAAATGATAAAATGATAAAAATATTTATCAATTCAAAAACGACAGACTGCTGTTGCGGAAAACATATCACCATAATCGGGTGATTTTTTTTTGAGAGCGAACGTACCGAGTTTATGGAAATTTAACCTTCCAAAAACCAGATTTTAACATACAGGAAGTGAATCTTTAAATGTAACTTATAGGCTACATCCTGTAATGAAAGATCTCTATCTCTAGCTTTGAGCAAATTTATCTCGGTTCCTGTCAGAGATATGAGAAAGTTGTCAACTGATAAAAAATTGGGAAATATTATGATAAATATTCTATCATTTGACTAATTTTTGATATCTGTTTCAAGAACCAATATAATTGAGCTCAAAGTTAAAAGTTAGAAGGGCCTTTTATTACAGGTTTTACGGAATACATAATAATCAAAAAGATACAAAAAAATGGTGATTCTGAGAAATGAAAAATCGAGAGGGCAAAGTTTTTCGATGATGAACGAGGAAGGTGGTAAAAAAAGAGGAGAAGAAGAAGGATGTGATGATGAATCAGAGAAAAACAGAGAGATTATAATGATAGTGGAGACATTAGACATATTGAGATGGGCTATGGCTCTGATGATTGGGGAAAAAAGATGGCAGAGATGATGGTTTGATTTTTCTAAAGATGCCTATTTGCATGACAATCGATTTTTTTTGTATGTAGAAAAATGTTTAAAACCAACACTTCAACACTTTAACTAGAACTTTTATTTTTACTTTTTCCTAGATTAACTTATTGAGTTCAGTTATTTCTTTAATGAAACTTCAAACTCTGTCAAATTTTTCAGAATTTCCTGATTTTTTTGGAATTTTTGGAATTTTCAGAACTTTCTGAAATCTTGGAATTTTTTATAATTTTTTTAATTTTTAAAAAACTTTAGAATTTTCTTAATTTTTAGAACGTTTCGATTTTCTTGAAATTTTCAGAAATTCAAGAATTTTTCGGAATTTAAAGAGTTTTCTGAATTTATAGAATATCTTGATTTTTCGGAAATTGAAGATTTTTCTGAATTTTGGGAATTTCCCTTAAACCTATTTTTAGATTTTTTTTTCGGAATTTTCGGAATTTCGCTGAACTTATCAGAATTTCTTGATTTTTTTGGAACTTTTGGTTTTTTTGGAAATACGAAAACTTTTGGAGTTTTGAAGAATTTCTTAGCTTTCAAAATTTCAAGGAACTTTTGAAACCTGAAATCGAAGCTCCACCCAAACCGTAAGCTTTAAGCTCAATTATCTCGATTTCTGTAAAAGGTATTAAATATTGTCAACTGATAAAATATTAGTGATATCGTGATTATTATTTTATCAGTTGACAACTTCTTGGTATCTTTCTTAGAAATCGAGATAATCACGCTTAAAGTTGATGGTTAATTGGCTTCTATTGAGGAAATGTCGTAGCTTATGAATAATTATAACTACGAAAAACTTTATCTATGTAGACCTTTTGAACAAAAATCTGAAGTCTTTATTTTCTCATCATTCTTTTTTAGATTCCAAAAATTCGGAAAATTCCGGAAACTCCAAAAAATCCTGAAAATTCTGAAAATTCCGAAAAATCGAGATATTCCGAAACTTCCCGAAAATTCTGAACAAACTTCATAAAACTATTGAAAAATTTTAGACTATATCAACTTGAAAAAAGAAAACGGAACTGAATTTTATAAACAATGCAAGGCCATGGAGAGAGGCAGTCCAAATGAAACTACAAGTTGAAGAAATTTTTTCAAAAAGAAGATAGAAATTTCTTTTTCAAACTTTGTATCCTTCGATTGATATGAGAACCGAAACTGGATTTGGATCTTCTTCTATTGAATTCGTCACGTGACTGACTTTCTGATAAGATATTGATTCCTAAACTATGCAATGAACTGTTTTGATAAGATAGGACACTGTTCATAGTTCTTTGATCTGACCATATTCATCGTCTGATTTTTGTGTTATTGTCTATTAGTCATACGTCGAGGTCTTCCCTTTTGTTTTAGGACAGTTTTAAATCATATGATTTGCAAGGCACGAGGAATTTCAGTCATTTTCATAACTTCTAGAACTTTTAGAAATTCTTGAAAATTCTAAAACTTTTCAAGTCCTAGAACCCATTTTCTGAGTTCTCGGTCACTTTTAGTATGTTAGAATGATCTCGAATTTCTCTCATGACCGAAGGAGAACAGCTGACAAGTTAGTGTCTCCGAAATTCTTCACTTTATTTCTGTCTTTTTTGTTTCTGTTTTCTATTACTTATTACTTTTTTCTTCTTACGATCTTTATATTTTGCTCTTTTTTCAGGATATGAAAGTTATCTATTTGATATTTTCAATTTTTATATTATCAGAAGGAACAGTTTTGAGAACGAAAGGTGAGAATGATTTGCATTAAATTACCGTAAGATCTTTAATAGAAGGGCCCCCGGCCTTCGACTATGAGACAACTTTCCTGGGTTCCTGTCGAAGATATATGAAAGATGTCAACTTATAAATTGTTGGCGAAATGATAAACAATTTATCAGTTAGCAAATTTTCGATATCTTTTATAGGAATCGAGAAAATTGACCTCGAAGTTGGATATGAGATTTTTTTGGAGTCAAAAATCCAGTCAGCTCCGTCTTCTTCTTGTATTTCTTATTATTTTTTGAAGCATTTTTCGGAACTTTGCAATGTTTTTTTAAGTAAAAATTTGCATTATTTTTCCCTTTACTTCCCGCTTCTGCTCAGCTGCCGTTCAGCCGCCAATCGTCCGTTCAGAATAACGAAGAGGTTTCTGATGAAAACTTTAAAAAAAAAAACGTATTGTTAGAATTTGATTCCTTATTGTTAGTTATTTTGACGAAAATCTCAAGAACTCATATTTTCACTCATAGCTCCCCGACGGATCATCGTTGGCCCTTCAGCGGTCTTCAGCCGCGACTCGCCTATTTTCGGCACTCCTGCTGCTCCAAAATGAGGGAAAATATGAGTTCTTGAGATTTTTATCAAAAACCTAATTTAAAGGTGGGGGGACAGGAGATTTTCCACTTTTGCCCGCGTGGCTCAGTCGGTAGCGGCGCATCGTCTTCAATACTCGCCCGACAAGTTCAACTCCTCGAGGGGCATATTTAAAAGGAATTTTGGGGAAATTATTTTTCATGTCTCTCACTTTTAAGAAACAAAATTCGATATGTGTTTCAAAAACGATATGTGTTTCAAATTTTCACCAGAAAACTCTCGGTTATTCTGAATGGACGATTGGCGGCTAAACGGCGGCTGCGCAGAAGCGGGCGGGCTACTGACGAGGGGAGCGTGAGAAGTGAATGGAAAAATAAAGCAAATGTCAGGTATGAAATACATTTAAAAATTTTTCAAAATATTAGAAGAAATATCATGTCCCCAACCTTTACATCAAGAAAACCAAGTTACAGAGAACTGCTCAAAGAAAGTGAGATACGACAAATATGGATTCCAGCCGTTATGTGCATCATGTACCGGTCTTATAACAGTTGCTAGGTAACCATGTTCAAAATTTTTATCTTGAAAAATAACAATGAAAATTTCAGTTTTATTTTGAAATTTGATGTTTCGGAACCGGTCGTTCTGGATTTTGCAACGATCATCTGCAAACTTTTTGCGAAACAACCATGGGCAGTTTGTGATGGAATCTCATCTCAGTTTCGAGTAAGTGTAAAGTGTTCTCAGTTCCTGTCAAAGATACAAAAAAGCTGTCAACTGTTAAAATGCTTATCATAATGTCAAAAGTGTTTTATCAGTTGACCTATTTTTGATATCTCTCATAGAAGCCGAGATAATTGAGCCTAAACTTTTGACATCTCTCAAATCATTTTAGGACGAATTCTTCTATGTCTTTCGAAGGCTTGCAAATGAGAGTCCATCTCAAATCTGTGGAATAATTCTACCAGACTGTGCAGATCCAACAGATCCATCCGAATCCGGATGGAAAGTTGCACTTCCTCCAAAACCAAAACGAAAGAGAGTTTTCAAAAAGAAAGAGAAGAAGCCTAAAATGTCGGCTTCTCAAAATCTAAATGTACTCCAGTTAACTGATCTCCACGTGGATTTCGAATACAAATATCCATCGGAAGCTAATTGTGATGATCCGGTATGCTGTCGACAGTCAGTAGCTGAACCTAAGAAAGCATCCGGCTACTGGGGATCAGTTGGGAAGTGTGATATTCCATTTTGGACAGTTGAGAATATGCTATCACATATCAATAAAACCCATATGATTGATATGGTTCTAATGACTGGGGATTATATTAACCACGTGGATTGGGAGTATTCAATTGAAGAACATCTTTCGGTGCTTCGCAAACTTCATCGTCTGGTACAAAACTCTTTTCCAACGACTCCGATATATTGGGCACTGGGAAATCATGAAGGTTTGTTTAAAATTTAGTGTTATAATATTTTCCAATATCTCAGGTGTCCCAGTGAATAGTTTTGCTCCTCACAACGTCGATGAAAGGTTCTGGCCAACTTGGTTGTACAAAGAGTTCCTGGCAATGAGCCATCCATGGTTGACCGAAGGAGCTGATGAAAGTCTTTTAAAGTAAGTTCTTATTTTTCTTCAAAATCTGAATTTCAATTTTTTCACAAAATTCAGACGCGGTTCCTATGCAACCCAAATAATGGATGGACTCAAGCTGGTCTCGCTGAATACTGGATTCTGTGAAGTCACAAATTTGTAAGATTTACCGTAAAAGAAGGCCATCCAACCCGCCACTTTGAGCCCATATATCTCGGTTTTTGTGAAAGATATCAAAAAGTGATCAACTAATAAAATGTAGCTGATGCTATCAAACATATTTTTTCAGTTAGTCACTTTTTCATATCTATTATAGAAAATGAGATATATAGGCTTAAAGTAGGCGGGTTGGGCGCCCTTCTATTAGAGTGTTTACAAGTAAAAACTCTGAAATTTTTCAGCTTTTTGTATTTGAATCAAAGCGATCCAGACTCTTCAATGTCTTGGTTCGTGAAAGAATTGTACGAATCGGAGCTGAAAGGAGAGCAGGTCTATGTGTTGGCACATATTCCACCTGGAGATTCTGAATGTCTCGAAGGCTGGGCATTCAATTATTATCGTGTTATTCAGAGGTATGTTTTTTGGCTGAAATTTAGGGAATTCGACCATAAATTACTTTTTTATTACATAAAAAATATGATTACTGTAGCCGTTTTTTATTCAAGACTTACTATTAGATTCAATTTCCGTAAACACTCTAATAAAGTTCCATCATTAACATCAACTTTGAGCCCATATATCTTCGTTTCTGTGAGAGATATCAAAAATGTGTCAACTGACAATAAGGAACCGAGATAATAATGTTATAGAAAGGATCGCACACTGTAATAAAATGATTAAACCCTGTCAAGTTTGAGCTCAATTATCTCGGTTCCTGTGAGAGATATCGAAAAGTGGTCAACTGACAAAGTACTTGTGTTATTATGATGAAAAACTTATCAGTTGACAAAATTTTGATACCTCTCACAAGAAACGGGATATCTGGGCTAACAGTTGATTGTTTCGGTGGTTCTCGAATATTTTTTGAGTTTCCGCGAAAACTAAAAACACTGAAAAGTTAGCGGTTTTTCGCGATTTTTTTGAGAGAAAAATGTATTTTTAAATCGATTTTTGAGTAAAATTTTTAGACCTTTTTAGGTTTTTCAGCTATTTTCGACTATTCTTTTTTCCGGTTTTTTGTATGAAGTTTAACGGAACGGTGTTCGTAAAGATTGCTGTAGGTTACTGTAGAAAACCATTTTCTTTATTTTGTAGTTTATTTATGTCGCCAACACAATCACGTCAAAACGCAGATAAATAACTATTTTTTTTGTAGAAAAATAGACTACAAAAGGAAATTAGCTTTCTACAGTAATCTACAGTAATCTTTACGAACACCGTTCCGTCGAATTTCAGACAAAAAACCAGAACAATCGGAAAAAAACCGTCGAAAATAGCTGAAAAACCTAAAAAGGTCTAAAAATTTTGCATAAAATCGAAGGAAAATCGCAAAAAACCGCAAATTTTTCATTTTTTTGCGAGAATTCAAAAACAATTCCAGAACCTTCCAGAAGTTTTCAGACATGTAATTTTTTGTTGCTTTATGATTCTACATATTTTTAATATGTTTTGATGCAATAAAAAGTCTTCAACAAATCATAAAATTACAGATTCGAATCCACTATCGCTGCCCAGTTCTTCGGACACGATCATTTGGATTATTTCACTGTATTCTACGAAGATATGCACAATGTGTCCAGCAAACCGATTGGGGTAATTTCTTTTTTTTTTGGTCAATTATAATTTTGGGTTTCAGGTCGGATATGCTGCTCCTTCGGTGACAACTTTCGAGTATCAGAATCCAGCGTATCGTGTGTACGAGGTGGATCCTTATAATAAATTTGTAAGCTTTTTTGTTGTTTGAAACTTAGAAATTCTGCTAACAAAGCCAATTATTTTTCAGAAAATTGTGGACTACACTTCCTATTCGGCTGACTTGGAAAAGGCTACAGAGGATAAGGCACCGGTTTGGGAAAAGCTGTATTCAGCTCGAGAAGCATATGCAATGGATGATTTATCTCCGGTTTCATGGAACACGGTCATCCAGAAACTATTTAAAAATGAAAAGAAAAGGGAACAGTTTTACAAGTGAGCTATTGGATTTTAGGTCAATTTTTAATTAAAAGTTATAGGTATGCCTTCCGAAATTCGTCTCCACAATGCGACGTCACTTGTCGCCAGCAACTCATGTGCAATCTCCGAATGGGTCACCACAATTCAACGCTTTACTGTCCTAATTTATGATCTTGGAATGTACATTTGATCTTCAAGTTTTTTTTGTTGAAAATTTTTGAAAATAATAAATAGTGAAATTGATAATTTTTATGACAATGAGATCCCGATTGTGAGTGTTCAGTCTGATGCCAATGGATTCGCATGAATTGTCACACTTTGGATTCTGAAATGAAGCAATTTTGGTGGAATTTTTCCCCTGCAATTACTAGTAATATTACTCACTTTTGCTGCACCAAGGGACGATATTTGTTGTCGACTTTTATCGTTTCTAGCTCTTCGAGAGTGTCGAAACCATCGATGACTCTGAAAATTTCCAATTCTGTTCCGAAAATTTAGGTTTTGCAACTCACTTTCCGAATAATGTGTACTTCATGTCGAGATGTGGTTGTTTCGCGTAGGTGATGAAAAATTGCGATTTATTGGTATCCGGTCCGTTGTTTGCCATTGAAACGCAGCCACGAGTATCATGCTAAAAGAAATCGCATTAATTTTAAACAGTTTCAACAAAAATCTTACTTTTAACGCACTGACGAATTCATCTTCAAACGGTTGGCCCCAAATGCTCTCGCCTCCTTTTCCAGAATGAGTCGGATCGCCAGTCTGCACCATGAAATCTTTGATATTTCTGTGAAAAATGCATCCGTTGTAGTAGTCGCTGGCACATAGTGCGAGAAAATTCTGAAAAGATCGATTGTTTTTTGAAAATAGAGTACTCTGGTAATCGGTTTCCAACCAGATTCGGGCAAATTCCGGAGCAGAAACGGCTAAATCTGGTTAGAAAATTGTCCGAATCAGGTAGGGAAATTAGCTTTCTCGGTCGGATGTGGTCAGAAAATCACCAGATCTGGTCAGAAAATCGCCAGATCTGGTCGGAAAATAAAAACCTTCCGAATCTGGTTGGAATTTTATTCGAATCTGGTTGGAAAATGCGCGTTCCCGAATCTGGTTGGAAAATTGCCCGAAACTGGTTAGAAACCGATTACCAGAGTAGGAAAATTTTACCTCACAAGCTTTGGGGGCGTCATCTACATAAAGCTCGATTTTGATATCTCCAGAAGTTGTGTGAAGTGTGACTGACATTCTGCAAAAAATTTGAGTCAAGATTCATCGACAAAAATTCGAAAAAAAAGAGAAAAAATTCGAAAAATTGAGTTTTTTAATTCGAAAATCTGTTTTCCTCGAGGACTCCACGGCCGGGTGGCCGGCAAAACGGCTAGGCCAGCTGTTCGTTAAAGACGAGGGAGTTCAAGTCGAAGTTTCGAAAACCTCATTGAAAAACTTTATTATCTTTATCACCGAATTTTAGAGTCTAAAAACTAGAGTTCCGCATTCGAAAATTCAAAAATATATTTTTAAAAAATATTATGTTCAGTTTTCAACAAGTCACACTTCACTCATTCATACGAATTTCTCCCTTGAGACATCTTCTGGATTCCCAAATTCCCCGAAAACATATCAGTTCCTCTAACCTTTTTGTGCGTTTTTTGTTGCCAAAAACTCTAGTATTTTTAAAAGAAAAAAGCTGCGAATTGAATTTAGCCACAAAATTTCTTTTGTCAGCTTTCGAGAAGACTACATCATTTCCGTCACTTGTACATATTCAATTGTATGTTATGGCGTGTCACAATCCAACATCTTCTTCTTCTTTTTTCGAGTTAAAAATAACGGCAAAAAACGAGGCTAATTAGAAGGAAGAGTATCTTCCTGGACGACTAAAGCACATTTCCACTTATTCGGTTTCTGTAAAGTGGTGTCTTTTCGTTTCTTTCCACTAAAAACTATCAGTAATCTTCGAAATATATGTTCTAGTAGCTTTAAATACATTTAAATGTTTGAAAAGTTATGTATTTTCCTTATATTAATGCGAAAAACTCGAACAAATCTGCAAAACCTCGAAAAATCGCATCAAAAAGCGAAAAATTCTCAGTTCTAGTCCATTTCTGGGAACTTCTAGATATTACTCTCGTCCGAAATCAATGCACGTTGCGGCCGAAAATTTACTCAAAATCGCATCGTCGGTCGCATAACGAGAAAAGAAATTGATGCATGCGCCTTTAAATACCGTACCTCAGACGTTTTTTATTTTGGGCCCTATTTGGCTGTTTTTTTCTATTTTATAAGAAAAATAAATAAAAGATTTATAAGAATTACACAAAATTAGACAGAAACAAGCGAAAAAATGAGAGAAATTTGAGAAAATCCGACAAATGTTGAGGTACTGTATTAAAGGCGCGTGCAATAATTTGAAAAATACAGTAAGGTTCTCTCTGTGGGAGCTAAGCTCCGCCCACCGTTGTTTTCTCGGCCGCAACGTGCATTGATTTCGGACAAGAGTAATAGTTCTCGAATCTTTGTTTTAATTCCCGCTAAAACTGAAAAACTGAAAAATCTGCGGGATTTTTGCGAGTTTTCAAAATAAAAATGAAAAGTTTTAGACCTTTTTAGGTTTTTCAGCTATTTTTGACGTTTCTTTTTCGATTTTAAGGTTTTTTTGTTTGAAATTTGATGGAACGGTGTTCGTGAAGAAGATTGCTGCAGTTTACTGTAGATTTCCTTTTGTATTTAGTACATTTTTGTAGCAAACACAATCACGTCACGAAAATCAACCCAAAAATAGTTAGTTATCTGCAATTTGACGTGATTGTGTTTGTAACAAAAAAGAACTACAATCGGAAATTAGCTGTTTACAGTAATCTACAGTAATCTTCATGAACACCGTATCGTCAAATTTCAGACAAAAAAACCGGAAAAATCGAAAAAGGATCGTCAAAAATAGCTGAAAAACATAAAAAGGTCTAAAGTTTTTTTTTCAAAAGTCTAATAATAATAATAATAAATACATTTTTCTTTCGGAAAATCGCAAAATATTCTTAGGTTACGGTAGTTGTCGTTGTAGGACTTTGGCCACGGCCACCGGCGTTTCTCATCCTCCAACAATTTCAAATTTTCTGACCCGTTCGGTTTTTACCTAATTAGTGTGTCTTTTTTCTTTTTAACACGAAAACTGTCATTCGAATTCTAATTTTCTGGTTTCTTGGAACTCGCCGTTTTTCTTGTAAACCGCAATGACTAATCCATGTTTCTGTCTTGATCCCAGTTGAGATTATACCCGAGTTATGACGCTAGTGGAATTTATATTTGGCACTTTTCCCGAAGCCAAAGATTATTCTTATAATTTATAGTCTTCTTTGAATTTTCTAAAAGTGTACTTCTGAATGGGAAATATATTTATCAGCCAGACTATAACTATTTTGTGACTACTAGTACCAAAGAGAGAAAAACATGTTGACTTGGAATCCAAGTCTTGGATTTTAAAGTTTTTTGGATTTTGGTTGCCTGGATTTCTGAATAAATTAATTCCGCGAATCATAAATCAAAGATGTCAGATTTCCGAATTTCTTGCTGGTTTGACGAGAGATGAAAAGTCGCCGTAAATTTATATATTTTTGTGTTGGGTAGCTGATTTTTTGATGTAGCTTTTTTGCTCCTTCATCAACAAAAACGCAATGAAATCAAATTCTAACGATACGTTTTTCGAATTTTCATCCTTTATGTTATTATGAAAGGACGATTGGCGGCTGAACGGCGGCTGAGCAGAAGCGGGCGGGTGAAAGCGGGAGTAGAGAGAGAGAGTAGAGGAGGGGAAAATATTGAGAATTTCAGTTTTAAAAACAAAAAAATGACTTCAAAAAATAAGAAAACATATCAGAAGAAGACGGAGCTGGCTGGATTTTTCCCCATGCTTCCGAATATGATGATAATAATTGTTTTAAATTTTAATGTTAAAACATAGGAGGTCCTATAAATCATTTATCGATAATCATGTGAATCGATGAACGAAATTCGACATCCGAGAACAAACTTTTTCCGGAATTCGGCTAAAATTTCGGGTTGAAATGAGAATTATTTTAGAGTGGAAACGTATTTGCAAAGTTTCTTGGGCTTAGAGAATATATGGAGAGTTCTCGAAATACTTTTGAGCTTCTCAAGTGAATCCAAATTTATCCAATAACTTTCTTCTTTTTTCAGATCACCGTAAATCCTGTAATAGAAGTGCCCTGACACTGTCAAGTTTAAGCTCAATTATCTCAATTTTTATGCAAGTTATCAAAAATTTGTCAACTGATAAAATTTTTTTGATATTATGATTAACACTTTATTAGTTGTCACTGTTGTCATATTTTTTGCAGGAACCGAGATAAAATTGCTCAAAATTAAAAGTTAGACGGTTCTTCTATAACATTGAAAAATAAAAAATTTCAGCTTTTGAATTCTTCACGAATGATGTTCCCAGGTCCAAAAGTTATTAGTTTCCCGAGCTTCGAAAAATGTTTCGTCAAGATTTTTTCCTGGTTTTAAAATCCGACAAATTGTTTGGCTCAGCCATGTTGCTAATCATTCATGTTGCTAATCATTCACACAACTTTTCTTGCTTTAAAAAGTGTACTCAACCCATTCGAAATTCACCCACATTCCCGATTCTCTCCTTTTTTTTTAATTTCCCATTTTTGGATATTCTATCTACTCCTACCGTAATCACTTTTTTCTCTTCCGTCCAGCCATCATTTTTAATAAGATTTTCTCGTACAACCCATTTGTTATTTATGAATCTTATATGACGAACCCATACATTTCATTTTCCTTTTTGCTTTTTTTTTCTTTTTTCTTCTTCCATTGTATCAGAATACATTCTCTCATTCGTCACCATCTTCATCTGAATTCGGGCTCCCCTCTCTCCTTTCTTCCAAATTCTGTATCCAATTATATCAATTTTCTCATTGCACGTTTTCTGTTTCCTTTCCCTTCTTTCAGATGCATGGAAGACTTTACCAAAATACGTGTAGAAAGTTTCCAAAAAAGAGCAAGACTTCAGATTCTCCTACCCATTCTTCATTCTAATCTCCCTTCTTCCCCTTATTCTCCTCCTCCTCTTCCATCATCAATCTTTTCAATGCCATACAAGCCCCGCCCACTTTTCCCCTCCCCTTTTTCTTCTTTTCTTCGCATTGCTCAACCGAGACACACACTTTCATTCCGAAAAAGTCTACAGAATGCGTTCTCTTCTTGTCATCCTTTTGCTCTTCGCTCTTTTTGCTCAAGCCACCGAGGCTGCTGGAATGAGATTCGGAACGCGGCCGTTCCAGCCAAAGTACTTCCGTTATCGTCGTTGGGATCCGACTCACGATTTCTACGATGATTATGAGGTGAGAGTGAAGTGAGAAAGATAGAATTAAGGGCCAATTTTGAAAGGAGGGGACGAGATTTTAGTTTCGGAGTTTTTTTTGAGTTAGGTTCTGAATTCTGGTCGTGCGTACATGGCCGTGCGTACGTGCGTATGAATTCTGGCCGTGAGCCCGCTCTAATATGCAGTACCGGTCCATTAGACATACAAAAAGGTAGTTTTCAGTTGTTTTTTGGCCAGTGTGACCATTTTCAAGAGTCTGGAGCTCGGCTGACAAGTTTCTGATCCATTTGAAAATGTTGGAGGGTGTAAAACAGATTGAAAACTTTGCATTAACAATTTTTTTTTGTAAAATTCTAGTTTTTCGGCTATTTTCGATTTCTGAAAGACACCCTTTTTTACCTGTTTTTGTACTGAAACCGTGGGTCTTTCTGAAATTGGCAAATAGCTGAGAAACTAAGCACTTTCAAAAAATTCTGTGCATGCAATGTGTTCAATCTAGGTCTGTTTTAAACCCTTCAAGATTTTCAAAGTGATCGGAAACTTGACAGCCGAGCTTCAGACCACTGAAAAATGCACAAAATAGCCGAAAATCAACTGAAAACTACGGTTTTGTCTATCTTATGCGACCGGTTCTGAATCAGACTTCCTGTTAAAGTTATCAAAAAGTGCTCAATTGATAAAATGTTTGTAATAATATGATAAACATTTTGTCAGTGGACCACTTTTTGATACCTTTTACAGGACATGAGATACCGAACCAACTTGCGCCATCGTAGCGTAGCCGGTAGCGGCGCCGCACTTTCAATCCTCCTACAAATTGAACTCCTCGGGAGGCTTATATGAACTGAATTTCGGGAAAATCTTTAATGTATGAGCCAATTTTTTTTCAATTCAAGAATTTTAAATTAGCATTGTCTTGCAAACAAAAAAAAGAACTGGACATTTTGCAAAATTCTATACTGAACTTTTCATCTTCTTGGACCCTTTCCCCCGTCTGCAAAGCTCTTCTTGAGACTACACTCAAAGTAGATTTCCTGTCCCATGGTGTCTCCAGAATCTTCTGTCACGTCAACGGCCCCATCATCGTTGCAACATCATTGACCAAGACGTCTTAACCCAGTGTTGCCTAATCTTTGAATTTCCAAAAAACATAAGAATCTTAGTTAGGAGTAGTAGCCCCCAGAAAACACCAAATCCCCTTTTCCTCATGACTCTATTCTTTTTTCAGTTCACTCGCGAAGTCCGTCGTCCCTTCCATCCGATGGCCTACAGACAGCGTCTACAACGCTAAGAAGATTTTAAAAACGACTCTCTCTTTTCCCTCTGTTGAATTATGAAGAAAACAATGAAAAGTTTTTTCCTCTTTATTATCACTTCAAATACAATAAAAAACAAAAGATGTACTGCTTCTGAATCCTTCTGAATCCCCTCATTTCCTCTTCTGAATCTGCGTCTCTCGTACACGATAAAAGCTCAGAGAGTCTGCATCGCTCAAGTTCGAACCGAAATGCAGGCGTTTTTTGTTTTTCTGAAAATGAAAAATAAGAAAACAATGAATCTTTGAAAACGCTTACAAAGGCAGGAAGATTGTAAGAGTCGGATGTTGTCCAACGAAGAACGAAACTGCATGAAATGGACTGAAAATAAATTAATTTCAGATAAAAAATTTCCCCAAGAAAAACGGGCCCTAAGGTTAATGTCATTTATTATCGGAGTAAAAAAACTGTCGCCTACCGTATGCAGACAAAATGTTGCTCCGCCCACACAACCGCCTTATCCGGACTTTGCAACACTGCGCTTCTGAGATTCTCATGATTTTTGAATTTCTTAGCTATTTTTTAAAAGGAAAAGTGAATTTTCAAGAAATTTTTGAAATAAAATCATATTGAAAATATATACAGTACCTGCCAATAAGATATACAACATTATGTTTTTCAGTTGATTTTGAGCGATTTTGACCATTTTTCAGAGTCTGGAGAACGGCTGTAAAGTGTCGGCTCAATTTGAAAAATTTAATTTTGGAGGGTATAAAACAGAGCCAGATTGAAAACTTTTTCATTCACAGAATTTTTTGAAAGTTCCTAGTTTTTCAGCTATATGCCGATTTCTGATAGACACTTATTTTTCCATATTTTCCGTACAAAAATGTACCAAATGGGGTCTTTTTCAGAAATCAGCAAAAGGCTGAAAAAACTAGGAGTTTGCAAAAAATTCTGCGAATGCAAAGTTTTCAGTCTAGGTCTGTTTTAAATCCTCCAAAAACTACAAAGTAATCGAAAACTGAACAGTCGAGCTTCAGGCTTCTGAAAGTGGTCAAAATGACCGAAAATCAACTGAAAAACCCGATTTTGCATATATTTCTTTACATATCCTAAACTTCCGCGGTGGTTGCGTGGGCGGAGCTAGCTTTTTTTCGCATACACGAGGGGACACTCTTTTTTCATACTCAGGTGAACTAAATTCATAGAAAAAGTGTCTCCAAGACAATTGGTCAAAAGGTGAAGGGCATCTCATTTACATGTCTAGCTCAAAAACAACGCTTACTCCAACAAGAATCAAGAAAAAATAATAAAGGAATCCATTGAAACCAAGAACTTCCACATCATATTTTTTATACAAACTCATTACTTGAGAATAAAATTATAATTATAAGTACAAGTTTGTGGCATATGGTCAAAAAAAAAGAGTTCACGAAAGATTTATTCGGAACATAAAATTAAAATTCGTATCAAAAAGTAGTATAGCATTCTCTTTGGTGGCAAAACAGCTGGATGGGCACTATTTAGTGTATTGTCACTGGTCTTCGATTTGGAAGCAGCCAATTCGTTCTGAAATCATTTGAAAATATTTTTTCATTCATTATCTAAAGGTTACCTCATCCGGAATGAGACTCTCCATCTTGCTCTCATTTGCAATGACTTGTCTTGAAAGAGTGTTCATTTTGGCAATCTTTTTGATGATATCCGAAGTGACTGGATGTCCGTTGTTCAGAATATACTCTGCCTCTTCGAGAATTTCATCACAGAGAATTTTGAGTGCCCCATTTTGGGTTCTCTTATGGGTGCTGTACATATTGCTCTTCTCATTCTCAGCGAAACGAGCACGCATACTCTAAACAAAATATTTCAATGCTTCTGTTTTTAAATCATTTCATAGAAAATTTCGATCTCAATGTTTTGAATTGGTTTATATTGGAAAATGTAGATTTAGAGAAGCTCTAAAAACTCTACAATTTCCAGCCTACCTGAAGAAATGGAAGACACTGTTCCAATTTTTTCTTCTCCTTCTCCTCACTCTTCACGACTGTGACCGTCTTCTGAAGAGAGGTGGATGACGTATCTTGATAGTCAAGATCCCCAGCACGATCTCTCATGTAGGACGATGCATCGTTGATAGCCTCCATTGTCTGAAACCCTCCCTCACGTCATCTAAACCGCTTCTATCAACTTACAGTACTATGAGCCCCTTTCTCCAATTTGTTGTATGCCACGTAGCGCAACTCGATCTTCTCAATGCTATCCCCAATCTTCTTCTTACGAATCACGACACATTTCTTTGGCAAGTCCGTGTCTTCCGTTGTATAGGCTGAAAAATGAGAGAATGGAAAATTTCTGAAGGGGCGAACGATACGTTTTGAATCCTTTCCTGCGGATCTTCTCATCATTGTTGCAGCCAATAAACTTGATTATTCGCTTATTTAGTCGTAAAATAAACTGAATTTCAGTTGGGCACTGACGCGTCTGCTGACGAGTAAGTTGAGAAAAAAGGGGATGTAGATCAGCTTGATTTCTCACATGGACCACGTGAAAAGTGTCTTTGTATTTTTGTAAAATTGTTATTTGTTACTGTTTTTAGGTCATTTCAAGAACGTATTATTAGAAAATGTAATAAAAAGTTTGGAGGTTATAAAACAGACCTAGATTGAAAACCTTGCATTCACAGAATTTTTAGAAAATTCCAAATTATCCGCTATTTGCCGATTTCTGAAACAGAGATCACTTTCACCAACCCAATCAATAAAAAGAATATAAAAGTTCAGTTTTTTTTTCAAAATTTCCCTATAATTATCACCTGCGAAAGTACACCGAAATCATGGAATATGGTACGGTTTATTGACGTCAATAGTCTGAAAAATTCAAGTTCTGTACCAATTTTTTCCCAGTCTTACTTTTTTCAAACTTTGACTGATATGCCCTTGTTATCAGTTTCCTCTCTCTCTCCCAAGAATTATACTTTTATATAACAATAACTTTCGATTTCCCTTTCTTAATTTAGGAAAAATCATTAATGTAGTTGTTTTTTATTAAAGAATTAGATTCAAATTACCGTAAACACTCTAATAGAAGGTCACCCAAACCGTCAACTTTGATCCCATATGTCTCATTTTCTGCAAAAGATATCAAAAGGTGGTCAACTAGTAAAATACTTACCATATCATCAAAAACATTTTGTCAGTAGACTACTTTTTGATATCTTTCACAGGAACTGGGTTATATGAGCTCAATGTTGAAACTTCTGGTGGCACTCTGTTAGAGTGTTACGGTAGATGTTTTGTTCACATTTCGATGATTTTCAATAAGTTCCCTACAAATTCCTTTTGTTTACTTTATTGGACAATCAAAGAGGCCACAAAAAATGGAAATTCATTTAACTAAAAAGTTATCTAGAAAATGGTCTTTACTAATTATATAATCTGATTTGAAGGTATTATGTAGTCATTTCGAAACTCTTCTGGTCAACCCACATGCAAAGATCGATGTCACAAAATGAAGTCAAATTATAATCCTATTTCCCATACTGTTCTTACTGTTTTTCTGACTCCAGTGACACAAAACAATTTGCAGTAATAATGACGTCGGAAGGTCATAACCAATAAAAAACTTTAATTCCCTGTAACCCCGCTTCTTGTCAAAGAAATCATTCATTTTTTCTCTAACACTCCTCCTCCGGTATTCAAAAATTGGTCACAATCATCGCGTTATAAATTATCGACCGAGACACACACACACACAAATTGGCTTATCATCAAAACTGCTTCCTATAATGAAATAGAGAGACAGAAGAAACGTTTCGGCGCACTCATACTCCGGAGCATGCGAGTGCTCACAGTTCTCCTTCTTCTTTTATTACCACCTCTAACCTTTCAAATCCTCGAAAATCCTGTTATCTCGCCAGCTCAACTATTTTGTCCTACTGTAGGAACAAATGCATATGCACTGGTTACAGTATGTTCAAATACGACAAAAGTGGAATTCGTACAATTACTGCAAGCCTATGCAAAGTTTATGCCTATGAATTCGAGCCAACAAATTAAATACGATTTTTATTTTGGATCAAATTATTCCACAATCATCACAACTACAGATTTAACTCAAGAAGTTGATGTAAGCAGAGTTTTCTATCATGGAAATTTGGATATTTTCAAATTGCGCCAACATTTGCTTGCACTTTGAGCCGAATTATATCAATTTCCATTACAGAAGTCAGAAAGTGGTCAACTGACGAAATTTTTATGATATTACAATAAACATTTTGTCAGTTGACAACTACTTGATATCTTCTACTGGAATCGGGATAAATTGGCTCAAAGTGCAAGTATAGGATGGTTTTCTAGGATCGTGTTTTGGCTTTTTCAGTGGAAAATAATCGATTTTCAGTTCTACAAAAGTAGCCCAGAGTTATTCAATTTGTCTGAAAATTTCATAGTATACTAAACAAAAATCGAGCTTCATTTTTGTGATTAGCAGCTTTTTTGCCAAATTCCATTCTGATGAGATATACTATTTGTATTCAAGAAAGGTGCCGGAAATGTCAAAATTTGCACTGAGAGGAGATAATTTAAAATCGTTTCTCATTTGGCGTTGTTGGTTGTAGTCGTTCAAAAAAGTTGTCATTATAAAACTGAAGCTGTAACTTTGTTTCATATAATCTGAAAATTTCAGAAAAGTCTTAACATTTTGAACTGTTTTGTCAGGACTTAAAATTTGTCTATTTTTCATTGAAAAAGCCAAAATATTAACATTCTGATAGAAAGCCCCAAACTTTAAGCCAAAATATCTCATTTCCTGTAAAACATATCAAAAAATGGTCAACTGACAAAATATTTTTGATATTATAATGAACATTATATCAGTTGATCACTGTTTGATATCTCATATGGAAATTGAGATAATTGAGCTCAAAGTGTAAGTTTTTACTTATTCAATTTTAATAGTTTTCAGGATTGGGTGAACGACACCAATTACATGAATTTGCTCTATGCTAGCTCAAAAACAGATTCTGAAACCCCTGAATTGGTTGGAATAGCAAAGTCAATACTAGACAATGTGAGTCATTCTAATTTATATTTTTTAAACAAACATTTTAGGTGGCCAAAGATAATCAACTCGATTCTACAGTATACCTCAAAAAGCAAGTTGTTCTTTTAACCAATTATGTTCCATACAATGTTACTGATGTATTCAACAATAATACCAATGTAAGACTTTATTCAAATGTAATTAGAAACAATAATAATAATTAGTTTTAGGAGAACACTCAACGTCTGGGTCTTTCCCTAGATCTCGACCTCAGTCCTCTTGACAAAGCAGCAGAATTTCCGGTTTTCAGAATAGATGATGATCGAGATGTGGCAAGCATCAGAGCTATATTTCAGGAAACTAGAGATTTTGGTAAACTTTACAAAAAAAATTTTAAGCGTTCCAAATCTTTTTTTAGAATTCCCCGCAATCGTTCACGAAGACAAACCTCAATCTGATATCTATGTATTCATGACATCTGCCAACATGTCCCAATTAATGAATGTAATTGAAACTGCAATTAATGGTCCGACCTGCCAAATGGCTTTAACTAAAATGTACTCTTCTTTCATACACACTCAACTTGTCAAGGTACGAAACATGCCGTAATCCTGTCCCCTGACTTTGAGCCTAGGTATCTCGATTCCTGTGAAAGATATCAAAAAGTTGTGAACTGATAAATTGTTCATCATAATTTTAGAAGTGGTTTTTCAGTTGATCTTTTTTTTGATATCTTTCACAGGAATCTAGTTATATGGGCTCAAAGTTGACGGTTTGGTTGTCCCTCTATTAGAGCAAATACCGTAAAACCTGTAATAGCAGCCCCGCACACTGTCTAGTTAGAGTTAATTTATCTTGGTTCATGTAAAAGATATCAAAAATGAGTAAACTGACAGAAAGCTTCTGATGAACTGATAAACAATTTACAAGTTTACCGCTTTTTGATATCTTGTGTAGGAACCGAGAGTAATTGGCTTACAGTTTTCCCGCTAATAAAACTATCTTTCAGAATGACACAGCTTGGAATCTGGTGATACCGTGGTTGGGTCAAAAAACACATATGTTCGCCTCAAACTGTATGAAATCTTTGAACCATTTCAGTCAGTTCTTCGCCTTATTTTTTTTCTTTCTCAATACATTTTTTTGCAGAATCTAATACGAATTGTACAGCTGTCAAAGATCAGATTTTGAATAGCTACGTTAATAGCATCTCAACTGCAAAAAACCAAACTTTCGCATATTTGTTCATCGACAACTCTGAATGTGCAATGACAAAGAATCTAACGACAATTATGGAAGACTCGGTAGATTGTCTGGTTGATTCTGAAACTTTCATCTCACCACTTCAGATTTCAGACTCATGTTCGTATCGTAATGAACGAAGAATTGAATGATGTTTATGAAGATTTCACACTTCCATTGGTCAATCTTGGATTTCTGGATAAGACCATTGACAATCAAGTAATCAAGAATAATATGTTCTATCTTCAAAACTATTCCACATCTTGTGCAGATGAGATTCCTATGGGTACGAATATTTTGAAACTTTTTCTCAATATTAAAAGCATTTAGTTCCTCTCGAATCCGCCCGCCCATGGCACCGCCCAAAATACCTTTCCATTGCTTTAGATGATATGCTTACCATATTCATTTGTGCAACGATATCAGTTAGCACATTTGGCATTCTTATTTATCGTTACGTCAGTCGAAAACACCGTCAACAAGTGGAGTTGCTGACTGAACTCATGTTGCAGCCAAGAATTTACAAGTTTGTTTTTTAATCAATTATTATACCGTATTTCCTTAGAGCTCAATTATCTCGGTTTCTGAGAAAGATATCAACATATTGTCAACTGATAAAATATTTATCATAATAACCGCAACATTTTATCAGTTTACACATTTTTGATATCTTCAACAGAAAGCGAGATATATGAGCTCAAAGTTAACAGTTTGAGTGACGTTCTACACAGGTGATTCGCGAACAATCCGTTACGGACGCTCCGCGTTCGCGCGTG